GTAACAAAATATAGCTTAGCAGCTTTCGAAAAAAACAACAAATTTTTGTAAAGATCTAGACGAGTATCTCCAAGTTACCACTGATCTAAAATTTCAACTTTTTACACAACTTCGTAATAACATTGCCTAATGAAATATATAGGATTTTTTAAGATCTAAGGAAAGAGTGATCTCGATGTTAATAAAGTGTTTTTTATTTTTCCGAAAAAATCCACCAGAAATCTTCTAGAAATTTCGTTAAGGTAAAACATCCAAAAGAAACGGTTGCTGCTCTGCAAGATGTTGTTACTTATCATGAAGTTGCAGTTGAAATGTGAGATCAGTAGGTTCAGAGTTGGCATACGTTCTACATACAATCAGTTAAGCGCAACATTTTTGAGAAAAATGAGATTAAAGTTTTCATTAGTAACCATTCTAGGTATTCCAAATAGAAAGTGTGCTCGAAAAATTAAATTTTTTTGTTGCATAAACAATTCGGCCCACCGTAGAAACATTCAGGTATCACTCTTAAGCTTTTCAGGGATCGTTCAAGCAAAAGCGAAAGAAAGATTGTAAAACAAAGTTTAGAAGACAACATTAGGTTTTAACAATCATCTATGTCCTCCTTAAAACCCCACTTTGATCAATAGTTGCATTCTATCTGGAATATCGCAAATATCTTAGACAGTCTAACTTGCCCTCATTATGTGTGATAATTTACCGATTATTTTGAGCAGCGTTATTGACACATGCAAATTCTTTCAAGTTTGGTTCAACCTATCAAAATTGTTGTACATCATTACCTCTTAATAGTAATACGTTCACGTGCGTCATAGGCGCACTATGGTAGTTGCTTACAGTTTAGCTTCGTATATAGAAACATGTAACATTGGACACAAACCATATACTTTTTCGACTTCGACTTATGTAAAACATAGATATATATAACCTTCAAAAATATAGAGTAAAGGAAGAAACAAAGAAAAATCTCATCTTCCATTCTCTATAATATTGAACGGACGTGGTTGATTATTTTCATTTTTACATAATATGCGTCGACATTTTTATATTGTATGTCGGTTGCAGTTTATAATAGAAGAAGTTTACAATGGAAGAAAGCCAGAGAGCGAAGAGTTGTTCTTAGTTTATGTTGCACGGTAGACGTGTCCTTTGACCAATTTAGCCCATTTCTAATACCAGCCTACGTGAGTAAGCTTTGAAAATTTTTGCCAAATCTGAAAACGATAGCTTCATTTTTTCGGTCAAGCGAATATTTAAAAGAGACCTTAAACAGACACTACAGTTTTGCATAAACATTGGTTTAGATCATTGCTCGTAAAGAAATTATTAGGTAATGCCGTTATTATTGTGAAACGATACGAACAGTTCCTCAACACGTCTGAATCGTAAATTTTGAATCGATAAGATCCTTCCTATTCAGGATACGGAATTCCTTTGCGACCGTGAGATGACGAGGCTGAACGTGGTAAGATTCCTTAGAAAAACGAAAGAAGTTCATTTTGACCTCATGATTAACTATAAATTTATAAATATTATTTTTTGTCTTGTGCTAATTTAAAGTAAAGTAAGAAAAATTTCTTTGAAACGTAGTATAGCGTAATCAAAAAACTTACGCTCAAAATTCAGTTTACCCTCAAGGGCTTAACATGCAAGAATTAAAGTTAAGTCCTTTTCTGTGCGTAAAAAATAATATTAGATCGCAGACGTTACTGCGACTGGTCACCTTACCTGTTATATGCCGATTTCTGCCGCACTATTCGCCTTTGTGTAAGGGAGACATCGATGTGTAGACCTTGGAAGCATTGTGTTGCTGTTGCTGTAGATACTCATAATTTGTTTATGACATGACATCTTAGGAATGCGTACATGTATGCATGTAACTTTCGTGCATAAGGAAAAACATTTGTTCGCGCGCTAAATGGTCGCTTAAAGTTGTTTCGAGTTTAAAAATATTTTCAGAGTCTTACTTAGAGGACGATTGTACTCTATAGAAGTTTTACTATTTTGTGTGCAATAAATAGCGAACAGAATAAATATGTTCGTAATCATTTATGGACCATCGATTGGTGATCTAAAATTTCATTTTAGATCATATCTGCTGGTGTCAGGTCCGCTTCCGTTATTCGAATTTTCAAACTTGTATAACTGAAAATAAAACACTAAACTCTTCTCAGCGGTTTGCGATGCTTTTCCTTTTGATCGTCAATAGCACACTTTGTTCGTAATACTTGTTAACAATAGAGTTTAGGGTCAATCGTCTGATCGGTTTGGAACAGCTCATAATACCAATCCTGCCATACACAAAGCATCAGCTCGAGCTAATTCGAGCTCAATCTTGGACTACGATTACTTCTCGCACCTTATTGTCGTACGAGAACCAATTTTCACCATCCGTTATTTCTAAAAAGCATCGAATTTCGTTTCGTTTCAACAGCGATTCGCTGGTGATTTGTGAGTTGTTCATCAACTTTTGCATTCTTACTTCTTGAAGTACGCAAATGTCGAGTTTCCCGACCCAATGATCATTTTAGTCCGCAGCGATATCACAGGTCGCAGTCATGTCATATGGCGATCTTTCTCAATTTTTTGAAGAATTTCACCGACTTAATTGACAATTGGTTATCCAGAGCGCACATAGTCTTTAATATCCTCACCATTACAAATTGTTGTCGTCTTGATCGAGGTAATGGTGTGAAATACAGCGTTTTTTTCAAAATTTCTGTTCATTTTCGAAACGCAATTACTTTCAAAATGCCAATCATTTACAAACCGAATTAATAATCACACACAAACAACGCTTTTATTTTTAAATTATCTATGAATTGTCCTCTTCCCATGCACTGCAGTATGGCTTAACGGGATTAGTAATATAAAATTTACGCGACTCGACAGCCTTCTACGGGTAAAATACCACAAGATTTTTCCTTTAACTATTTGCTTATAAAAACTTCCCCAATTTTTCTTATTCGGTTAATGCTAACAGAGTTTGTTTATTAATAAAAGTATTTTTTTTTTTTAAGGCTATCAAATTTTGGCTTTTTCCAGACATGTATTCTAATTCATTTACTTAATATTTATGATCAACGTTAAGCTTGTGAGATATATGTGATGGTCGTCCCTGCAGCTAATACATTCTCTGTCCTTCACTTTATCTTACTTTACGAAAATTAAACGGAAAATTTATTTCATTTATATACATTTTTATTTAATAATTACCATTTTCGAATGCAAGCCATGTGGCAAATTTTTATAAATAAATTGAAAAATAAATTTATGATCTAAAGCCTATTTTGAATCGTTAAAAAGAAAAAAACGCTTAATCTGTGAGAATGTAAGTGTTAAATGTCACAATAATAATCACTGCTTTTTGTTAAATGAATTCTTTGCTTCTTATTTCCTTCGTTTTTTTTTCTTTTACATTCTCTTCAATGTACCCTTAATTCTGCTTTTCATAAATGTTAATGACTTTGAATCATTGACATTTTCTTGCTAATCGCTTTACAAAAAAATTAAAATTCCTTTGAGTCTCTTAAGAACGTAATTTCACACAACTTAAAATACTGTACAGGGGCACGGACCACCATTAAATACCCTAGACCTCTTCATTTATATAACGACAAAATAAGACCTTGTATTCGATGGGTTTGAAAAGTGATCCGATCTGAACCGTTTTTAAAATCGTTCGTCCGTGGGCCAAAACATGTCAGTGTAGCAAATATTTCAAAAGCTGTGACCTGTACATTGAACACAAGAAAACAAGGTGCGGACGAAAGGGCGGAAGGACAGAAGGACACTCAAAGTTAACTCTATTTAGTAAGTTACTTTGACATACTCGGTATCGTAAAGGTTGACTCCATCTCAATTTCGCTTAGGTGTTGCATACATCCGCATAAACTTAATATAGTCGTCTATCGCAAGTGTTTTGGGGAATAAAAGAGAAACGACTAAGGATATTATCATAAATTCAGCTGTGACCGAATCTTTTATGCTGCGGTCGTGAGACTTTAAAAGTGCTTTCTTTTATTTTGATGATGATACAGTAAAATACTGCAATACTGCAATAAACTATGCTTTAAAATCGTGCTGACAAACACACAAAATGGATAATATAACAAGCAAGAAATGCTATGTTTTTCTATCACTATGTTTTTCGCATTCTACTCTGCAAGTCCTTTTATTTGATCCACATATCGCTAGTATTATTAACAAAAAAGCAATCGCGGCATCTACGATATCGTTTTAGAATTAACCCATTTTTAGGCAGATAATATATCTTCATTTAAGGAATGCACAAAATACTGTTAAACATTCTGTCTTGTTTGATTTATGATAAATAAGCGCAAAACCTCAAAAAAGTGAAAAAAACGGAATTTAACCACTTGTAACTTTGTGTGGGCACGGCAGATGTTTTCCATTTTTGCGCTTAGGGAGTAGAGTGGATCATAAAGTAAATGTGGAAAATTGCAGCCTTCTAACTTTTATAATTTCCGAGTAACGGGCAAAAGTCCAAAAACTTTAGTTAAAAAAGAGTTGCGTTCAGTTTACGCTGCACTGCGCGCTTTCGCTCCCACCGATTTGGCCAATTTTCAATGCCAACTAAATTTGAAGTCGATATTTTCATCATTTTTGCGACCAGGAGAATGCCAAAAATATACATCACAAAGACACACAAACGGACAGACATGGCCAAATTAACTCATAATTTTACTCTGATCAAGAATATATATACTTTATAGCGTCTGTGAAGCTTCCTTTTGGATTTTACGTACATTGTGGAAAATAACGAAATAAGTATACCCCAATCTTATAGGGGTGGGTATAAAAACGCATCTCATACACCTTTAGTTTTGTGTAGAACCCCTCCTTAATATTTGCTTTGAAAAAAAACTAAAATGCTTTTATAGGTTAAAAATGGAAAAATTCAATCACATTCGCTCTATGTTATGGAAGAACGAAATTCAATTATTATTTTTTTTTTTTTCTTTAGTTTAGTTTAGTTTTCAATATAAAATTGGTGGATATAGAGGATTCGTCCAAATCCGAATGTAGTTTTATTACGCGTTACCATTACATCAGTTGTAATTCATGAGTAATGAGCAAATAATAACTCCTTTTAAAGATGGAAACGTTCTCGATTTGCGTTGTAGTGCAGCCTTGTCCTTTTGACCGATTCAGGCCATTATTATGACCAACCCGCGTACAAAAACTTCCAACGTGTTAGCCAAATATTATTAACTCCCGAGGGCCAGACATTGCTTGTCAGAGACATGAACGCAGACGCACCGACATATCTAAATAGGTTCAGAATTTTATAATGATCAGGAATATATATATATTTCCTTTCAAGTTTATTTCTGCTATGCAAGTATTTTAACAAAATGTCTATTTCCCTAATGTTACCTGGGCATAAAAAGAGCTCCCAAAAGTCTACCTTATTTGCAGAATTTTTTCGTGCCTCTTATGTGGTGGAGCAATTTCTTAATATAGTTCGTAAAGGCATTCATTTTCAAAGCGTTTCTTTTCAATTTAATTTTTTTCCAGTGGAGCCCAAATTTAGCGGTCCTATAGTTAACGTCACTGTCCCTGTAGGTCGTGATGCCTTCCTTACCTGCTCAGTGCACGATTTATCAAACTTTAAGGTAACTATTTCTCATACTCAACAAAACTTTATTTAAGTCATTAAAATTTAATGCAGATAGCTTGGCTTCGTGTGGACACTCAAACTATTCTGACCATACACAATCAAGTGATAACGAAGAACCAACGCATTACTTTAACTCACACCGAACATCGTATCTGGCAGCTGCGAATACGCGATGTAAAAGAATCCGATCACGGCTGGTATATGTGTCAAATTAATACGGATCCTATGAAAAGTCAAGTCGGTTACTTAAACGTTGTCGTACCAGCCGATATAGTAGACTATGAGACAAGTCATGACATGATCGTGGAGAGACAGCAAAATGTGACTTTAGTGTGTACGGCGAAAGGCTCGCCGGAGCCCTTAATAACATGGCGACGCGAAAAAGATCAACCCTTATACACTACAGCGAAAGGTCAAGTGTTTACTAGTGAAGGCCGAAATTTAACTTTATGGCAGGTTACGCGTTCTCATATGGGTGCCTATCTCTGCATAGCCTCAAATGGCATACCACCAACAGTTAGCAAGCGTATAATGGTGCTAGTAAATTGTAAATTTTACCCATTAGTGGATCTTCCTCCAGTATTTAGGATGTATTGTTTTCTTTTCCAGTTTGTCCTACGATCTGGACCCGCTATACAACTATCTATGTAAATTATCGACAACCTGTAACTTTAGAATGCATCTCTGAATCACATCCGATATCAGTGAATTATTGGCTAAAAGGTACCGAAATTATAGAAGGTGGCACATATGAATCGGTTAATGAAAAGCATATCTATAAAATAATTATGCGCTTAACGGTACAACCTACAAAAGTTCAAGATTTTGGGGAATATAAATGCATAGCAAAAAATCATTTGGGTTTTGTAGAACAAACTATCAGATTACGACGTAAGTCTTGTTAAGAACAAGAAAAAGAATGCAACAATTTTTAAAGCAACATTTTTTTTTTTTTTTTTTAATATTTTAGATAAAAGCAAACATAATCTGCAACATCTTTATCAAACTAATAATCGTAATAATCAGTTAATAGTGTTTGAAGGTAAGTGAGAATGTTTTTCTAATTTTGGAATTTAATTTTAACAGAAGTGATTCTTTTAGAACTTGTAACAAATGTCGGATTTTCAATATACTCAAGGTCAAGTTTCCGCTGTTTAAAGAAAAGTTTATTCATATTATTTAATTTTATTTTTAATTTAAGAATTTAGGTAACCATCACTGCAGATTACACTACGTTTCCCATTAAGCTATCATGAAAACTTTAATTGCCTATGCACACATAGCTTTTAAATTTAGTACTAATAATGGAACTGCTTAAAATTTTCAGAAATTCTTCTATTGATATTGTAACTGCAAATGTTGATTTGATTATGTACGGAATGATCAATTAGCGTTAGGTAAACAAATAAATTGCTCACACAAAAAATTGCTTGCTTCATGAAACGCGCCGGATGCGTTCGATTTTCCCGAAATTTCAGATATCAATAACTTAAATATTGATTAATATCTATAATAATTAAATATTTGAATGGTTTCCAAGTCAATGTATATCAAAATTTAAAGAGATAGACGTCATTTAGTCAACCGCATTTTTATGCTGCGTCTTTAACTGAATGAAAATGATGACATCGCCTTGGAATGAAAAAGCTCTAAGATACAAACCAGTTAGAAAGTAGTTTGGACAAAAAAATTTGCCTGAAAATTCGTATACGTCCGTCCGTCTTACTTAAAGCAACCGAGGAAGTAGTTATTCCAATCGAGGCAGTCATATTTAGCAGGTTAGCGGTTCACAGAATTTGCAGATGTGCGAAAATGAACCAATGACTTTTTCGTTTCCAAACTCATAAGCTTATAACGCGCGAACATCCATAAACTATCCAATAAATCGCAAAAAACCATCGAATTTTATCAGGAATTTATTTGTATACCCATAAGTTTCAAATGGTGAATAGGTGAATATTAACAAAATTCGTCCAAATACCGACTACAACCTCGGGTTTTTCTTTTATATTAAATGAAAGTTTGAGAAATAATTTTATTATAAGTGTTAAGTCTTTTTAGAGAAATAAATTTTATTTATCATAATAGTTTTATAAAATACATTATCCGTATGTATTAAAATAAACAAATCTTTAGTCGATAAAATAAACTTAAAAAACAAAAAATAATAATAATAATAAACTTGTACCAATAATTTCTGAAAAGCAAAAAATTTATGTAAAACAAATTTAAATCACAAGCAAGTGAGAAAGCTACGGTGCGCCTTCAAGGCAAGTCTTGATTGCCCACCACCTTAGGTAAGTTTATGAGAATGATGGGTTTTCTTCATTTTTAACCTATCAGTAAGGCGATTGAAACCATTTTTATAAGAAATAATTACTTGACATGTATTCGATGATATCGATGAAAATTAAAAATTTTGATTTTCTTCGCGAGATTTGTTTTTCATTTTCCGGCTATTGTTGAAAGTGTTTTTATGGACGAATCATGTCAGTTTTTTAAACTCGTTAGACGTTAGGAGCTCAGTATAGACAGACTAAGTTTATTAAAATTTTTATTTCATTTTTCGCGGTTTGAATAATGAAAGGACAATCTATTGAGAGTCTTATGCCAAGTATTGAAGCAAAAAATCTGAATACTACGTTAAAGTTTTCTAGTTTAGCTTTCTTGTCAAAGAAAGCACGCAAACGATGCTAAATCGTATCTGTATATAGTATATGGGCCCTCCGAAGTTATTTTCCCCTATTTTATAAACTCAAAAATAACCGGTGGTGAGCATAGTAATCGTGAAAATATATTATGTCGTGTGTAGGTGTGCTTGAGTGTGTTTGTATGTATATATGTGTGTGTGTAAAAGTTTTTGCTTCAAGTGTGAGGTAGCACATGCATATAATTTAACTAGATTTTTTGCATTTTATTTTTTCTTTCGTTTCTTTTTGTGTTTTTTGTTTTCTTCTTTTTTTTTTTTTTTGTCATTTTTCACGAGTGGTAAGTTTTCAACTTAAATGTAAAACGTAATAAGTAAAGGAACGCTGTAAAGGAAAGAAATTAAAGTGTTTTGGTATCGTTCGGTCCATTTCCTTTTGCATATTATTTAACTTATAAATTTTACAAATATTTCTTCTTGTTGTACGTATGTGATGTATATGCGTGTGAGTATGTTTTCAAGATTTTAAATATTTATGACATTTGAAAACCAATCTAAAAAATAAATGAGAAATTCAAATTATTAAATATATATATGTATATATATGTAAACATATACATATACATGTAAACATATCTTTACATTTACTACACAACTATGTTCTAGCTATAACTTTTGGTTAAAGGTATATAGGTAGGCATTCGTAGGCGTTCATAATATATTCCTTGCACACATCTCGAGAATGACTCTTTAAATTTCATAATTTTTGTTCGAGTTTTTGTCATTTTTTAATCAACTTGTAGTAGTAGTAGTAGTAGTAGTAGTCTGTGGCGTTCGATTATGATTACTGTTATTTGCTTCCATATCGGGCACTTCGATTTTCGGTGGAGGTGAAGCACCTTTAGCTTTAGCTAAACGATTGCGCTGTTCATTGATCTCACTTACAAGTTTCTTAACAAATGGATGATTAAATTTGCCTGCTGTTGAGTCAAAAAACTCTTGATGTTTTAATAAGCAATTATCACGTTTCTCGTATTCGAAAGCCTGCATAACCATATCTAAACGATCTAGATCTTTGACAAATCTTGATTCTGCGCTTTCACCCAATTCATATTCCTAAGCAAAATAAAAAAAAAAAAGAAAAGACAAGAAGATGGCATTAAAACAACAGATACAAAATTCCATATATATAAATTATTTCAATTACCTCAAACAATTCCATTATACGTTTACCACGTGGTTCTATCAACTTGCAAATATCTTGCATAGCTTTCAACTCCATAGCCCGTTTCTCATTTTTAGAAACGCCACAAAAAGGTGTTATATCGCCAACCAAACTTTCAGCCAAATCATGCACCAAAGCCAATTCCATGCATCGTATCTGGTCTAAGCCTTCACTGCCGTCTAGCAGAAAAGTTAAAATGCTCATGCGATACATATGACCCGATATAGATTCACAATCATTGACATCACGCAAAACCCAGCCAGTACGTTTGGTATGCTGGCAAACAAATTATAAACAATAAAAAATATTTAATTATCATAATTGCTGCTTATCATACTTTTTGGCGTAAAGATAATTAAGAGGAAACAAGTTATTAGATCTTCAAAATCTAGTAGTAGTCGTTACTTGCAAACTCAATTAAACGACACTGTTAGTCTTGGCATGAATTGTGAATGCTTTTTGTCAACAAGAAGTAGATAAAAAATTCGTCTGTTTCTTAATTTTTGGATTGGAACTGATCCAATGACGCCCAACCCCAACTAATAAAAGTATACCTTAGATATTGCTGATCTCTTAACCAGCCCACACTTCTCAATTCATTTAACTTATACGTCTTTCCCTTTGTTCAATCAGCCGCCCGCACGCCTCTCCCTCACCGCGTCACACAAATTGTTATAGAAAGCTGAGATTTGACGAAATTGATGGCAGACAGTATAGTCAGATAGGGCCACACTTCGCCTGGTAGAATTCTTCATATATTTTCGCAATAAATTGTAGAAAAAATTATACTTTATGCTCATGCAAAAGCGTACTCATGGGTGGCTTATGGCTTGGGCTCCAAAAGGCAGATCTACGTGATCTAAGTATTCCACGTCAAATTACTATTGTGGACCAATTTTCATCATAAACTATTAAAAATTACACATTTTTGTTGTATAAAGAGGCGATATTCCATAGGAATGATTAATTGAGAGGAAGATCAAAAAATTTCATTCCATACTGATTTTTGTCAAGAAATTTAGCAAATTGCAATTTTGATAGACTACCTTTTCAAGGCGGTTCGTTCTTAAGCTAAAGCAAGCCAATGTATCAAGTTGCATCAAAATATCTTAAAAATTGCAATCTGTAGGATGATTGGACAAAAATATCCGTGGACAGACAAGCTTAAATTAATCCACTAAATGATTCTGAATGGATCGATATAACTAACAAGAGTTCAAGAGGCCTATCTTACGTCTTTCTAGATGCAACATACGCTCGCATACAAACTACAAACAAACTTAATGTAAGTAATGTATAAACATAATTTCTTCTTTTTTACAGGTTTTTCTTATTTGAACACAAGCTAATGATAGACGTGAAGAAATCGACCCGAATATAGCATTTTTTTTTCATATATATGTTCATTAAGTTCATTGAGTTAATGAAAAATTTTCTTAGAAATTAAATAAATTTATTGATCAAACAAATTTGTTGATGAAACAAACTTTTATTTCCTCCACTTGCAAGGTCACTTTTAGTTGTTAAAGGAAAACGGAGGGTTGTTAATAAATTATAAAAACAATCCGGGGCATACAATGGAAGCAGAAAGGTATATTTCCACTTGAACTGAAATACTATTGACCTTAACATTGTTGGAAAAAACAAAAGCAAAAAAAAAAAAATCAAAGAACTTTTTTTTTAATATTTTAGGCAGAAATTTTTTTATGTGACTTTGCTTTTTTGCCTTTTTTTGTTTTCTTTTCTTTTTATACCAACCGCTGAAGGATGGAGGTGTATTCATTTTGCCAAAACGTTTGCAATGTAAGCTACGGGGATCAAATTCTAAACGTGTTTAACCATGTTTGTCTTTGTGTCTAACCGCCTTTTTGTTTTTATCATATCCGTTGCAAACATTCTCCTGCCTCCAAACTCGGAAAAAACCTTGAAAGTTCCTGCGTTCAGGTCCGTATTGACATTGGGCCAAATCAGTGAAAGAATACGCCCACATTGCAACAAAACCTGAGATCACTTCTATTTTCAAAAATAGAAAAACTTTGCTTTTTACTCTGCTTAACTTTGGCAAAAATATTGGAACTCGTTGCAGGTTGATATTGAAAATTGGTTAAATCGGTAAAATGATACGCCCCTAGTGTGACATAAGTTGAAAATATCCCGACCTTCGCGGTTTTTTGGCTCTTACACATAAACTGGCAATAGACATAAAGATTTCTGGTTACACCCTACACCATTTCTAATACAGGGTATATTATATTAGTGCGGACGTATGCAAAACGCCGAAGCCCTTAAGATAGGCCGCCTTTTAATACACCGATCGATTCGAAATCGTAATCTGAGTTGATCTGATTGTCCATCTGATGTCGGTGCATGTAATTGTGTGTTCAAGCTACAGATCGCAATTCTTAAGATATTTTAATGAAATTTGCTACAGTGACTTGTTTCGACCCAAGGGCGAAAATGGTTCGGATCGGTCCACTTCCTCCATCACCCCCCATATAAAGCCCTATTCTTAAAAGTCATTACATGAAAAAAAATTGTAATTTTCAAAATTTCTCCGCAAAAGAAGCTAAGTGGTGGTATTTCGGCATTCTAAATTGGTATGAAAACTTTGAATCGGCTAGGGCAAATTCTGAATCCCCTCTCATATAATGAAAACCGATGCTCATGCGATAAAAAAAGCTATAATTTTTAATGGTTCACTCTGAAAATTATATCATAATAGCAATTTAATATAAAAAATTTAACTGCTCCAAATTTGGACAATCTTGGCCTATTTTTTGGATCCTACGCTAATAAGGATTTTCGTGAAAATTGACCCTTTGTAAAGCAAAAAAGTCTAAATTTTAATACGTGGCGATGAAAACTGACCCATAACAGTAACTTCATACAAAAATGAACTCTACAAAATTTGGACCATCTACGCCTATTTGTGCATCCTGCGCTTTGTAAGGATTAAACTTGTACTACACAGGTTGCGTTTTATGCCCTCTTCCCTATAAACATCCAGATGAAATACATGCCTTTATATAAAAGCAAGATATAATTTTTATGTTCTACAATAAAAATAAGAATTACGTTAGATAACGTGGGGTGGGGTATGTAATGGTCGGCCTTGCCCGACTATAATGTTCTTACTTGCTTTATTATTGAATTATTGCACATCATTTCTATTTTCATAACCTTTCTTTTCTCATTTTTTTTTTGTCATTTTCTTGTCTTTTTTTTTTATTTTCTTTATATGAAGCTAAGTAAAGTTCATCAACTTAACACATTCCTAGCACTTATAGTTTAATATTGTATAAGATATTGAGTTAACAAATAATAATAATTAACATCTTTCATTATAATTTGCACATAAGCGTAACTCATTTGTTAATGGACGAATTGGACCTGAATATCGAAACATATAAATTAAATTAAATGAAATGAAGAGTATACAAAGTATAGTCTACACTAAGAATTATTTCCTTTCTTTTAATTTTAATTTAATTTGCATGCATATAAATATATATATGTGTATATATACATCAAAAATGTGTTCATGAATCTCAATGTTACGAATTTGCCAAGAAAATTAAAACAAACCCGCCAGCATCTTAATTTGATTAGTAATGAATCTTTTTGTACCCTCTCCTAAAATAATGCTTTCTTCCCCATGAGTAGTCGAGTATGCAAAGGGTCGCAACTAATTACTCAATCGTCATGATTTCAAATCTGAAGTTCGGTAGAGTTTTCAACACACGCGACAATATCCGGCAGCCATACTATGTAAATATATTTTCAAAATGTATAGATCAATAAATAAATAAATAAATTTCTTTATATTTTAAAAATCATCACTCCGATTACACATTTATATATTTATGTTTTGACAAATATGCTCGTGGTACCTGTCTACTTAATACGACACGTATTTGTATCACGTTTATTTCACAAGTATTACTGTAATAAGCAACAGCAAATAAATATTACTTTTGTTAAACGGCATTGTATTATTTCATTTAAACAAATAACTTCAATGTCAAGTGTAAAAAAAAAGAGTTAGTTTTAAAAGTTGTTCAAGATATGCATATCGAGACAGGTATGCTAACGCAGCTATTTGCTATATAGCTATGAACGATTTAGTAAATTGGTTAAGATCGTTCCCAAATCGAACATGTATGACGGATATGTGGGTAAAAGTTTTTCAGAAATATCTCCGCAATAATCGTAAGTTAAAAGCGAATATAAGAAAAAATTCTGAGCCTCTTTTCAGCCTGCTTCCTTCCGTCTCTTATGCATTAAGGACAGTTATGTGTTTGTATCCCTCACTTGCTCAAAAAAACAAGCAGATATATATCATTCGATCCTCTGAACCGTTTAGAAGTTTAGAAGTCATCAAAAGATATCGAAACATTATACATATAGTGCGCGAAAGTTAAAAAGGATCATCTTGACGTACGCGATAGTTTCAGTATTAAATTTCATAAATCAATGAACCAAAGCTCATTAAGAATCTGTCCAAATACTTGTCAACTTTTCTGCTTTCGTTTGCTTTTACATTTTTCAAATATTCGGGCAATGTATTTTGAAGGCATCTCATATCCAAAGACAAATTTAATACACTCACTGACAAATAGATAGATAAAAAAATAGTCTTTGTCGCATTCATATATAAAAATTATAGAAATACATAATACATACATTCATAAGTATGTGGTCATATAAATAAATAGAAACATTCAAATATATATATATATATATATAGATATATATACATATATTATTGCATAAGATCATTAATGCAAACAGAAAGCGTAAAGTAATTTCTCATCATATTTTATACATTAACCACTGAGCGCATAAAACCTTGATATCAAAATTCTTAGAGCTTCTAGAGAATGACAAATTATTTAAGTCCAGTGTATGTATAGATAAAGTTGCATGCTTTCACTTAACAAGGCTTCTGCTTTTTTGCTTCAATAGCTTAATGTTTACGAGACTTCCTCTCCTCTCCTCCTTCTTTCATATCCATTATGTGATAGGCAAATGAAGAGAGTTGATTCTTTCGCAATAGTAAGTCGCCCTCTGCCTTCCGAAAGTTGAAGATTCTCCTTTGAACTTTCCTTTGATCTCTTCGCAATTGTAGAGCCTTAAATTTCTTTCCTTCATTCATCAAAAAAGTCCGTTTCTTTACGGGAACTGAATAATAGTAAAAGCAGCAAATCCTTAAAAGATATGTTGCATAATTAAACCTAACTTGTAGCAGCGTCGTATTCAGCAATAAATTTGATTTACAAAACTATTGGACCAATTTTCGACAATATTTTATCGCATGCTCTTACCATTTACGGCACTTATGGAGTAGCAGCATACAGTAAGGAAAAGCTAACATTTTTATTCAATGACAATAAGTCAGGAATGTTGTCAACTATCGAATATCAAGTGAGGAAAGCCTTATTTACCACGCCTTTGAAGAATGGGGTTTATGCTCATGATATCATAAAGTTTGCAATTCCAAAAAGGAAGCTTCAGAGATCCTGTACAGTATGTATACCTTCGACCAGCAGCAAATTGTAAAAGCGATTTCTGTCCGTCTGAGTGAGGTATGTTGTTGACACATGTCCTGATCGTAAAAACGAAGATATCGACTTCAAATTTGCCAAAAATATTTGCTGTTCTTGTACCTAGGTTGTTATCAAAAATTGGCCCTATTTGTCAGAGCATAAGCCCCCAGTGAAGCGTAAAGTAAACGCAACTTCGTTTTTCTAAACAAAAATTTATGGTTTTTCCTCATTACTGACAAATTGTAAAAGATGGAAAGTTGAAATTTTCCAAAATTACTTTTAAGTGAAGGAAATTTGTACAAATTTTTAACTTCCATTATCTTATTTTCTTTAGATGCCTTGACACTGCTAACATTAACAGCATCAATGCACAGATATTTTAATGCCCACTTCTACCCTTTTACGTCCTTTTGACTCAGAGTTTTTGTGATATGTGATATTTGGCACAAACAATGATGGATTAAGGGCCCAAGTCGATCTGTCCGCACACACGCTCACAAGAGATGAAACACCGATATAACCTCGAAACGTCAGTTTTGTCATATTTTTATTTATAATTTTCCACGCAGAGGCAGAGATCATTTAGTTTCACGTGATAGGTCTAACGCTAAGCAAGCCGCAGCTTTAATTGAGTTTAAACTGTATTTAATGAAAATAGAGGAGGAAGAGATCATCTTGAACCACGCGATATTTCCAGTGTTAAACAAGTCAAGGCTTTAGTCAAATTTGAGCACTATATGGTGACAATGGAACACGGACACAGCCTTAACATTGGCCAGTCAATAATTTTGAAGAAACGATTAGCAATCGAAACTTAAAAAAAAAAAAAAAAGAATCAAACAACCTTCTTTAAGCACTATTAACTAATGCTGGTGCTCCAGATAAATAAGTAAGATTTCTGAGGAGTAAATAAAGCTCATCGCCAATCTGAACTAGATGTGTAGGTATGCAGGTAAATCATTCATTGTCTGTTTCAATTTTTGTTGCCTTAACGGACGCAACATTAGAATGCACAGACATGGCGGCCTATAATCGAAAGTGCTTTCACTGGGTCAGTTCATTATTTTACTTGTCCTGGCAGTCGGTAATTATGGGCCTTGAAGATTTCTTAAACAAAATAGTCATAATATATATATCACACTCAATAAGATGTAAGAATTTACTAATCAAAAATAAACGCTTCCCATCTAGTGCTTTACAGGCTCACTGATAGGTGTTTTTAGAAAAAAAATACTCATCCGCCGTTTACAATCTACAGGCGATTTATTGTTTAAATATCTATGAAATACATAATATTGTGTTGCAGTTAACTGAAAAGTACTGTATACCAATGGTAGATATTTTAATTCCTTTTGAAAAAAGCGCGATTAAATTCAATATCTTTGTAAATACTTACGTCGGGCGTTGCGCTAAACCTTATGAACGGAAATCTTAAATTTCATAAGAAATTGATTGATTAAGTATACAACAACCACAACAACAATTAACTTAATACCTCACTATCAAATTTAAAATCGCAAAATAATTAAATAAATAAAAACAATATGAAAATTTCGAACAACAAAGGCCGCCACTCAACTTGAGACAGTTGAGATTGTATCGATTTTTTTTCTTTTTCTCGCGTATACACATATATGTCGCGATTGAACGTATAGTTGGGAAAATTTGACTCACCTTTAGATTGCCAATAAGCTCCATAAATTGTAAGATGTCGGCCAGTCCGGCATTGAAGCATGGTTTTCCTGAAGTTGACGTTGAACCGCATGAAGCTGACGAGGATGACGAAATGGGCGACGCTGAATTTGGTGACGTTGATTTCGATGACGCCGATATTGTTGACGTTTCATTATCGTATGTTGGGTTGGGCTGTTGTTGGTGTTTCAATTCATTAGCAATCTGATGATGGTCCTTTAGCTCTTCTTCTTCTTGTTGCTGCTGCTGCGATATGGGTACCGGCTCAGCCGCCAATGAAGAAGACATGGCAAATTGTTTGGTTGCTTGTTTTTGCTTAAAATTTGGATTTTGTGGTTGTTGTTTTTGTTGTTGTTGTTGTTGTTGTGTGTGAAAATATAACAATTGCTGTTGGTAGAAATTCTGTATACGTTGATTACGTAGTGTTGTTATTGCACGAGGGTAAGTTGTTGTATTTATTATATCTTCATTCAAAGACAATTTCGTTGATATCTGTATCTTTTGCTCGCTCGCGCCTAAAACCGTAACGCTCTCTTTCAAATCCGAATAGATACTAAAATGTTGATTTCGATTGTTTTTACGCTTGCATGCCGTTTCTGCTACCGTTTTTCGACAATTCGTTAACAATGGTGGCAACAGCTGACTAGAATTCATATCGTATTTACTTTTGTTATCATTATCTTTATTGTTGCTATTCAATGTTGGTCTCGTTTGCTTTCGCGTACTACAACACAATTGATGAGATGACGGATTCATTATTTCATCATTAGCTTCTTTTTCCTGATACTCTCTGCTTTTATTGTTGGTGCAGGTTAACGATGTCATTAATGTGGTTGACGTAGGTAAAGTTGTTTTTCCCGTTTTTGAACTTTCTGCTGTAGCCGCAGCGCGCTTTAAATTATTTATTACATCTCTGCCGCTGCTGCTACTGGACGTCGAATTATTTTGTAATTTTTTTAATGTTTTGATCAATTGCTGAATGGAGAACATTTTTGAATAGTTGCTTAATTAATAATAGTATCAGAATGAAGAGTTGATTATTCTATTTAAGATTTCTTAGTCTCCCTCCCTCGCTCTATTTTTCTCTCTCTCTCTCTTGCTCTTGCTCTCGCTATCTAAGAGCCTCTAAGGAAAAGCAATAATTTATTTTAGTTTCTCATTTTCGCATAAACGATTAATAGAAGAGAATATCAAAATAATCAGTCTCATTCACTTTGCATTTATGTATGTTTTTTGTAATGAATTAATTTTTGATTAAATTAGTTTAGTTTCTTTTCTTTGATTTTAAATAATGAAGAGTTAGTTGATTTTGTGAAAAAAAAAAAGAAAAATTGCACATATATGTGTAAGCAAATCACGCTCTTCTCTTTCTTAACATATTAGAAGAATCAAGAGGACTATCTTTGCTTTCTCCGTAAACGTAAATCAAGCATGTTTTCATCTAATAAAAATAAATAGAAAAATTGAAAACAATAATTTAGTAAAGGCGAAGAGAAATCTTTAATCTTATTTCTTTTTTGTTTTTTTTTTTTTTTTCTTTTCTTTAAATAAATAAATAACACGTGCAAGCATATGATGAGCTAATTAAAATTCATTTTGGTACAGTTTTCAAGAAGGCAAGCACAAACCTTATTATATGCATATACTATGAAATTCAGAAAAAAAAGTCCAATAGGGAAAAATTTGTAAAACCGATTTTGAAATTATTGAAAAATTTGAACTACCGCAAATAGACCTGAAAGACATACAATTGGATCTCCTTCTCGAGGATGTTCTTAATGTGATTTTTATCGTTTTAATGTTTTTAGGAAAACCAAAACAATCCTTGGGATAGGAATTATGGTAGAAGACAAAAGGAAATTGTACCCTGGAATGCATAGACAGTTTGTTTAAACTTTTTTTCAATAATGGTTTTTTTTTATATTTTAATCTATATCATTTATTAAAGAAGAATGCACGCAACAATAGGATCTACAATTTCCACTACCACCGAACCACATCAATGTACCAAATTTCACTACTGAAATAATTGTCACTCCGTTGCTACATGTACTTAATTTATAAAATAGGTAAAAACACCGCCAACTATTAGATACCCTACATCAAACTACAATTATTCATATAACGACTTCTCAACGTGAGGCGTAATGTAAGAAGTGGTCGAAAAAAGCAGTCCGAACCGAACAATTTTCAACAGCGAACAAACGAATTTCATCAAAATCCCTCAAAAGTTGCGGCCCACAGATTGAGCACAAGAAGGCAGACAGAGGGACAAATAAGCTCATATCGATGTGGAAAACGCTCGGTGTAATGAGGAGCCGGTCTATCTCAAATCCTTCCATATCCGCCCAGACTTAATATACCTTTGTATGACGAGTGTTGTAGGATTTAATAAAATTCATTCCTTTCCAGGTTGTCACTTCTCCTATCCCACTCTTGAAGGGCATTGGTCAAATTAAATGCAGCGCCGTAAACTTCAGTCATTTACCATTTCCTAAACGATATTAATATTGTTTTTCTGATTATTTAGTTCGTTCATCACATATTGGAAAATTTTTCGCTTTTTTATAACAATGATATGCCATTGGCTCGACTGATTTTATCGTAATTGATATTTTGAATAATTAGCAGCCATTAGTTAACAGTATAACATCCTACTTCGCATCACCAACTAATAATTAATTGCAATCTGATTTTATGGAAACCGCTTTACGCGAGTATTTACGCCTTTATACCGTGTATCCCCTGCAGTGCAACAGTATATTAAATTTGTAAGATTATATACAACACCCACAAAGATTTCATGTATACTCTGTTCTTATACCGATTTAATTAGAATCTATCCACCCGTCGATCTTTACGTAAACTTACAAGTTACCTCATATGAGATCTTTTAATGAAATTTGGTACATTAACGTTTTTTGGAACCAGAACGAACGCTTTTGAAAATGCCAAGGATAGTTGAAAGTTCCGCAATACATTCAAACACAACTTTCTTTAACATCCAAGCTTTCTTAAACCATTTGTAAATGTAATAAAGTCGACTTTGATTAAAAATTCATTTTGTCTTTTGAAGTCGACCTTGCAAACTTTATTATGCTATTTACGTGTTTATGAAAACATGTTTGTGCATACTATTGTAGAGCACGATTTTAATTTTTGATATTTGCAAAGGGCTAAATATAGTATTTTGGGTTTATCCTCGAATAATAAGTTAAATATATTTTTAATTTTATATTTTGAAAAATTTCTTTCGTTGCATATGTTGGGAATAACAATGTATAACGAAATCTGGCGACTAATAAATTTTTGCAGTTTATAATTAATTTATTGTAAATTAATTATATTAGTCAACTAGCCCTTTCGCTGTGCGTTTCCTTCCTTTTCCTCGTAACCACTAAAAAAATTCTGAGAAATTCTTTAAAAAGTAAAAAAAAAAAAACATTCACCAATGCATCGTAACGTAACAAAATTATGAATGACACTTGCCGTTAATTTTGTCTGATATATGTGCTTAACACATGATTCGTATTCAAACACAACACCAAACACACATATATAAATAAATAAGTAGCATATGGTCTGAGAGATTTTTACTATCGTTCTTGTTAATTAATGAAAATTTATTTATTTGTTTATTTCTCTCGCGACGCTGAAGGTAGATTGTTTTTGCTAATAAGTTATATTTAAATTTTTAATCTTTGGTACTCTGCTGATTTAATTAGGAATCGACTTACAACAGCAGCTACTACGAGCAAAAAAAAAAAGAAGAAAACAAGTGCATCACGAACGTCAATTGCACTACAACCACTACTACAACCATCGACGACGGAGGCAGTACATACTATACGCTAGCTTTTAGACACAAAAGTTTCCTTTTATCTTTTTATGGTCTATCAGAGCAACTATAGAAAAATAAATTTTTTCGTGAATATATATTTTTGGGGAATAATTTTTTTCAATTGATATTTAAAAGGAATGATTGCATAGTAATCGAAGCTTTATTTAATTTGAAATTCACTCAAAACACTCACACACACACTTTTCACGCTCGTCGCAGGAAGAACAACAACCTTCTATTTCTTGGCAATATAACGAATGCGGAAGAAGACCATCAACATTCGAATACAGTAGTATTCGTTACGTTCATTTTCGTTTGATGGTATTGATAATGCACTTGAGTTATTTGAAAATTCTGTATTTTTCTTTTCGCACAAAACAACATAAAATGCACACAACGAATATTTAAAACTGTCAGCAGAATTTACTTAGATTTTGCAATCATCAGCTGTTACACTTATTCTTAAGCCCTATGACGTCCGTTTTTTTTTAACTTATTGTAGGGTTTTCTTTTTTAATTTGTTTTTTAATATGTGCAATTGTTCTTACATTCTCTTTTTCTCTATTGATATTTACACAACATAAAATCGTTTAATGTTGATTTAATGCACAGCAGCTCTCTTGCGCTAAAATCATATTTTTTATAAATTTCTTCATAATTAATGCCCTTTTTAACGAAAATATTTACGAAAAACTAAATGTTTCCGAAAAAAAAACCAACTAAACTACAAAGGCAGCAACAAAAACTATTTTTTTTAACATTTACCTTGAAATTGACAAAAACGAAGTAGCCAATAGTAGAAAACAAAAAATACGAAAGAATTGGCAACTCTAACTATTATCTATTCGACAGAGTTGTTTCGTATAGGACATTCATCCGTTTTGTTTTTCAAATAAATTGATAAGTTACTCCCGCACCCTCTTGGACCTGTAGAGGATCTGATCCAGCAAATAAATGCTGATCTAGAGCATATTACTCTCTGGTCTGATTTTAACGATTTAAAGTCAAATTCAAGGAAAACTAAAGCCATTGTAATATCGCCCACAAGTTACGATTCTTGCTCTAAAATGGTCGAAGAGGGAATAGAGTTTGTTAGGGCAGTTACAAACCTTGATTTTAAACGCAACTCTCGCTTAAGCGGGGAGGAACATGTTAATTACCCAGCTGCGTGTATTCATAATATTTTAAATAAACAATGGCACTCCTTATTTTATGGTCCCATTTTCGCAAAATTAAGATTAATTAAATGTCTTGTCCTGCCGTTCATATCATACGGAGCATACGTATAAGGTGAAATAGATTGTGCTTCTAACAAAAAATTGCAACTTGCCATAAGTAAGCTTATTATTATAATGACCTAAGCTTGTCTGTCTGTCCGTCTGTCCATCCGTTTTCGTTTTCAGCATATAGGTCACAACTTTTGAGATATTCTAATAAAATGTGGCACTGACATGTTTTGGCCCGATGGCGAACTCAACTCAAAATGTTTCGGATTTGGTTGCTTTTTCGACAATTTCCCATGTAACGGCGTAAGTTGAAAAGTCGTTATATAAACAACTGTATTAAGAAAAGTTGTGTAGAGTATTTAATGGCGTACTAGTTTTACTTGTTCATATAAAAGATAGTGATTTCAATATATAGTTCTTTCTCTTAACTTGAAGTAATAAAGCAACTTCTATTCCTTATATCATAAATCATAAATGGTCAACAGATCACCTTGTCATGACAAAACTAAAGAACACATGATGAGCTCACGCGCGCAATTTCCACTAATTATGATGAGGAGCATGTGTAATAAAACAGTATTCCGTTCTTCTTCTACACTTGCAGAATGTATACAAATCAATGGGTGGTGTACGAATTCAAAGTAAAAAAAATAAATTTACTTATGAAAAAGTAAAGGTTGTAGAATCTTAATTGTTTTGTTTGCTCAGTAGGAGTTTTTTACGTTCTCAGTTAATGCTGAGTTTTATGTAAGGCTTCCCATACAAATATAATTCGACAGAAAGCTAAAGCAATTTTGGATAACTTTTCCAGGTGCCAAACTTTCGCTTTATGGATCGATTGACTATATTTAGGCGATACTTTTATACGGAAGACATGTGATACATACTATGATAAGTTTGTTCAGATGTATACCCAGCAGAACTTTAGATAGTCACACCTATCATTATAATAAGCTTATACGGATCCCATCACCAAAATATTTATATGAGAAAATTCAATTCGCGAAATCTAAACGGAATCGAACGGAATCTAATCCTTCCTTCGATATCAAAATGATTGTTAACTCTAGTAGATTTAAAGTAGCTACGAATGTTTTCTATAATATATATTTTATGATCACATCTAAATCTTGGCTTTGCGTCTTATATTGTACGATGTAGGTATGTTACCTTGTTTATATCTCTATCTTTACTGTTTTTGATGATTGCACTGATTGTTGGAAAGCGACTTTTTAAACTTTCTAAAATTTTCTTAACCTAAGAATATTTTTTATAAAAATTTTCCACAATGGTTAAAATAACGTGTTTTAGTTATATTGTTATATTGCATCTTTACGTCCTTTTAAAAAAACAAAAAAAAGTATAATAAGAAAATAGCGTATCTGCATGATCTAAGGTTTGTGTACGGAATTTTACAACTGTGCAAAATTTGCTTTCATTTCTCCTTGCCTTAAAAGAAGGCACATATAAGTAAGTCTAATTTGAAGTGTTATTAAAAGTTTTAATATAAAATTGTGATCTATATAAATAGAGACACTAATTTTATTGTTTCAGAAAATTGTTTTCCTCGAAAAAAAAAATCGCAAATGTGTGTGTTAAAAAAACTTGATGCTTATTTGGAAAAAAGTTGCTACCGGTTTTAATGGAAGGTATTAAACCGTAAGAAATAATTGGAGGAGAACAATCACTTCCGGAGTCAATGGGAAAAATTAAAATATTGAGACATTGCTCTCATCTCAGCGAAGTGAAAGTGAACAGGAGGACAATCAGCCGGACAAAACAAAAATAAAACGGCTCAAAAATATTCATCGCGAGTTCCAACTATGGTATGTAATCAACTAGATATAATTAAAAACCCACTAGCCGTCATTAGACGTGTCATTGTGTTCATAAAAGTATATGTGCAAATGAGGCTAAACTTTGATTTAGATATTCGATGGTCACCAAAGCGATAGTTGAGATAAATTAGAGATCTGGATATAAATAGGAACGCAATTGAGTCACCTAAAATATTGTTTTCATTTTGTCATCGTGGACTTTATTCAACTTTTCTTTCGTTTACAAAAGGAATTGGCGCAGAGATTAATATTCATGGGTTGATGATTGAACGGTTGTTGGCACTAGGATCTTTAGAACCATTTTTCAGATGAGTATCTGCGTGATTTCGGTAAAATTTTATATTTTTATACTCGTCCGTAGTAGGGGTAATTTAATTAATTAATGGTGTGCGGACATACGTAAGGGCCAATGTTTATTCTACTAATCGTTACAAAATCATGTCTTGAAACGAGTTAACCATGACGATGCCTCTACCTTTTTGATATCTGCTCTTATCTTTATATTTTCAACGTCGAGCTAGTAATTTTACCGACGCTTTCGTGAAATTTGGAATGGATTTTACAAAATATTTAATATCAAAAAGAAATTTACAGAAGTAGATGTGGACTACATAAGTCAATTTTTTGGCAACTTTCTTAGTGCAAGAGTTCTAACAACAACAAACGTTCTTGGCGTCATTTTTAATATTTTGTAACTCAGATATATAAAGAATTGCATTCGAGGTAGTGTTATGGAGTCTTTAATAATCAATCAACTAGTATCGAAACAGAAATTTCTAGTCCAGAGTAGACCTTTGGCACAGTTGTTGGATTTAACAAATATAATGGTGAAGTTAACAAAGTTATCAAACGAAGAATAATTTAATAAAGTCAAAATCACGTACGGAACATTGCTTTAGATTATCATACTTGTGCGTTATTTAATCAGACTTCATGTGTAACGTTATCTACTCGTAAGCATATCGTATATCTGATAAACTTTTAGAGATCTTTAAATTATTGTTTTTCTCATGCATTTGATTTTAGAAATTTCAACATAATGCTGTGCTAAGCATACAGCCTGCATTCCTGCATATTTTCTGAATTATTTCATGTAGAGAAATGTATTAAATACGTAGAACGCGTATTAACATCTCCTATTGCCTACGGTTAGTTAGCGTGTTAGAAGAATGTTATATGTATTTAAGTGTGTGTTTCGCTTGTGCGACAGATGCAAGCGATAAGATATTTATTTGTGCGATGGCCATACGATTGAAACTTAGGAAATAAATAAAATATCTATGCACGTCTTGGGACGCTTCTAAGGCACCCAACACGTTTAAAAAGTGTTTCGATAATTCGTCCACAGGAAAGCTATTGTGTCCAGTTAAAGCTAGCAAGTGTTTGCTTCATATTTGGAAAGTCTTTTGTAATTTCAACTGTTTTTAGTAATTCTTATATTTTCAGAAGACGAAGTGAATTTTAAAGCTTTTAGCCCATTTTTTATGTGAACTTTTCTTAGTTGAACGTAAGCATAAAGGACTGCGGAATCCTCTCAGTATCTCGCATTAATGCATCCTATATTTTGAAAGGGCGTTCAATAAATATTTGCGGTTATTTTAAAGGAAATGGGAAAGATCTTGCGAATATTTCCGGTCCCGTTTGTTTTCATTATATCCAATTTCTAATATATAATACATGACTTGCAACTTATAATAATTAAGGGGCGTGTTCAATTAAACTATAAATTATACTAAAAAAGAGCCTTAAATTTTTGACTCTTTCGCATTTAAATCCTAAAATAGTATTTTTAAAAATTTCGTCCTGGAAAAACAACTATGTTCCACTAAACTGCTGCCTTCACTCATTTGTAATTTTGCAATAAATTTCTTTTTCACTTCACGACTTTCTCTAATAGTCATTTTCTCTATCAGCTTGGAACTTCGTAGTCGAAGGTTAAAGAAATAAATCGATTAACATTTGGATGTGAAATAAAAGCATTTGTATTCTACGAATTCTCCGAATCAAACGACTAGCTGGCCGGTAGTTCACTGCGTTTATAATTAAACGCAATGAATGCGAAAAGAAACAGTTGGCCCAAGACAATGATCGCTTGAGCAATTGTAAAAGTTCATATAATTGACATTAACAGCCGAACATTTCAAAGGCAATTCAGGACGGAAAATCATGCTACTAATCACCACTATTAGTATTTTTAAGCATTTCCAAAACTCTACTAAAAGATTAAAATAAAAAGAAAAATAAAAATTTAATTAATGTGGTGTAATAAATATTTACGCCCTTGGGCTTAAGTAATTCGATAGTATTTTTTTATAAAATGTCAGTTTGTTAAAGTCGATAACCCTTAACATAGAGTGTTAAAAAGCATTCAGTATCTTGCGCTTGCAAGGCATTTTTCCTTTCCTTTTCTATTGTCATAGTGTCCATCTTCTTTAACAGTTCTTCGTTGATGTCGCTTCGCGTCTGAAAGAAAATTTAAACTTAAATCCGATTTAATTAGAAATTCAGAAAGGAAACCTCTATGACTGACGAGTTTAATGAAAAGTGTAAAATCGTCCAAAATGATACGTTGGGAAGGTAAAAAAAAAAAAAAAAAAAAAAAAATACAACTAAAATAAAAATTTGCTTAAAAGGATAAAAAAAAAAAAATAAAATAAAAATTTGCTTAAAAGTATTACATAAAATTAATTTTTAGATATGTTCGAGCTTGTGAAAATATAAAAGCCGGCGAACCAATATTAAATGAAAGCCCTATACTGATAATTGCTTGCCCTGGTGATAAGAGATGCAGTAATTGCTTTCGGTTGACTCAAAGTTATTGTAGGTAAGTAAAATACAATTTTCATTTATTGTATTAAAGGTAACGAAAGTCTTATTAACTTTAGTAAATGTTCAATAACTCCATTATGCTCCAATTGCCGTAGTCATCATTTGTATGATTGTAACACATTTTCGCTTATGTCTAAAGAAGTGCAGTTCGAAAATTTGCGTAAAAATCCAGAATGTTATGGTTTATTAAAACTCTTCTTACTCAAAGAGAATCCCGACACTGAAGAGTATTTTGCAAAAATTTTAAATTTGGAATCTCATTTGGAAGAAAGACGCAATACTGCTATTTGGCAAGAACATAATGAAAAAGTGGTTCAGCCTTTATTGAATTGCGGTATGAAAGAATATTTCAAATATGATGACACGTTAGATGAAGATTTCATCCAACGGCTCTGTGGTGTACTGGACGTTAACACTTATGAGATAAGAGCACCCGATCAGGAGGCGATGCGTGGCCTGTATTTAAATACGTCTTCAATTACTCACCAATGTAATGCTAACGCAAATGTAGCCGTTGATCATCAGTACCGCATCAAAGTCTACGCAAACCGTGATATAGGCAAAGATGAAACCATCAGCAGCTGCTATACCAATGTATTACTGGTAAGTGATTTAGAAATACATGCGTAATGTTTTCATAATGCTGCATTACGCAGCATTCGTTCGTAGAGTATTTACGGAGTATTTATTCACAAAAGATATCATTTAGAGTTCGTTTTTTAGTAATCCGAAGACGTGTTCCTCCTTCGCGAGCAGACCTATTTTTCTTAATTCTCTTTGTTTGAAGTTAGGTTATAAAGTTTATTCTAAATTCTTTCGACATTTCCACTCGTTAGAATCTGCCGTCCAAAAGCCAACAAATCTGTAGAACGATGCTAACCATTATTAATTCATATTCATTAGCTTCAAAAACAAAAAAAGAAAAAATTTATGCAAAATCATTTTATTTATTTTTTGAATATATGAAATTTCTATCGTTCTTTTGTTTTCTAGGGTACCGATGAAAGACGTCGCATCTTACAAGAGGGTAAATACTTCCATTGCACTTGCAATCGCTGCGAGGATCCCACCGAGTTGGGATCGCACATGAGCAGTTTTGTTTGTACTCCTTGCATGACTGCAAACAGAAACGGTATCGTTGTTAAGAAAACGACGACTGAAAACAAGTACAAATGGGAATGTTTGGTTTGTAATCACAGCATGCGTGATGAGCAGATAAAACTTATATTGGAAAAAGCCAAGGAAGAAATTTATCATGCCCGTGACGATTTAAAGCGCTATGAAATCTTATTGGCCAAGTTAAGTAGAATTTTACATCAAAATCATTATCTCATGATAGATATAAAACAGAGCTTGGCCAACATTTTAAGATCAATCATAACGAGTAGTATGCAACGTCCCGGCAGATGTGTCTACGAGCGTAAAGTGCGTTTATGTCAGGAATTGGTAATGGTTTTGCATATTATTCAACCCGGCATATCGAGATTAAAGGCGATAGCTTTATACGAACTTGCCAACGCTTCGGCCGAGTTGTATCGTTTGAAATTCGGTGAAAAGGAACTAACTGATAAAGAATTAGTGTCCATGTTGCAACGATGTGAAGCAATGTTACGTGAAGCGGCCCGCATGCTTCTATATGAACCGGTTCAAACGCCGGAAGGTGAATTAGCTCATGCCGCAATGGATGAATTAAGAGATATGCTAAACGATATTAAATTGTTGAAAGAAAAAATCGACGAAGACAACTAAACAATTTGTTTGTACAAATGAGTATCGTGGTTCAATAAAATTTCTTTAATCAAATTGATCGTATTTTTAGCACTATCGAAACGGTTATGGCAATTCGACTGTGAGCATTGCACACATTGATTTAAAAGTTTTTCCAAGTTCGGATATCTTTCTTGTACGCTTTGGGGTATGGGATATAAAAATCCGCCCGTTTTCCTTTGATACAAGTCCTCTGTTAAAAACTGACAAGCAAGAAAAATATTCACATCGCTAATATTGTAGTTGCAAATATCCAAAGGTTCGTACGAGAAACATCCTTCACATATCTCATATTCATAACGATGCACAGAATTATTATATTCAGCTTTTGAAGAGTCAACTATCAATATTGTATCCAAATCAATTAAATACAGTTTACTTTTCGCAACATTATAGACTATATTGTCTGCTGTTAAATCTGTTATATATAAGCGATAGTTCGAAAAGCCATTTGAAAATTGTAAACTCGCTTCTAATAATTGCTTAGCAATTTCAAGTTTCTGAAAAAAGTTTTCTCTATAGAAATAATGTAAACTCTGTCCGGCATTATCTTCTATTAGAGTGAATCCACATACATGCCACGTTCTTGGAACGGGAAAATTCAAATCATATAGCACCGGTTTTAGCAAAAGATCAATATTGGTTAACGCGTACAACCACAAAGTCTCAAGTTTTAAACTCAAATACGCTCGCAACTGCAATAAAAAACTTTCAATGTCTTCGATGGGACAATATTGCCAAGCGCTTTGGGAATGTAATAATTCATCTCTTAGTTTTTGCACCGTAGCATGGTGAAGATGCTTTCTTTGATTTCGATAGCCCAAGTATTTGCATACAACCCTTTCCGTATTTTGCATTGTGAGCCAACGGATATTACGTTTGGACGGCATTTTGGGTAGAACATCCATAATGGACTGCAGCGATAAATCTTGGCCAATGATATTTTCATAGAATTTTTCACATCCTTTTAACTGAGATCTGAAGCAATCCTTGCACAATTCCAAGTCCTCTTTCAAATAAGTTTTATACAATTTTCCAGGTTCGATTAACGATATTTTTACCTCCAATGTATTGATAATAATTATTAACAATACTGAAAAGCGGAGATGGGCCCTGTTTTCCGTGCGTCTTCTCGTTGACATGGTTTAAAGTCTGCAATGAGGGAAGTAAAATATACGTATATACCCCCTGAAAATTGCTTCATTACATTCGGAGAAAAGCTAAAGTAAAACTTTCTAAATACTTTTGGTCAAAGGTGATTAAATTCAATTAGAGTCTCAAGTTGCGAAAAAAACGGGAGAATTAATTAATTGAAATGGAAATAAAACAAAAGCCACATTCAGAAAATAAGCGGACTAGGAAGAAGATAAGTGAAAAATTCAAAAATTTAATAAAAACAACTAGCATAGGATATAAACGTGAAAAATTAAAAGTAGTAAGGCCCCGCTTATTATCATTCTTATCATTATCATTCTCTCGATAAATCCTTCGCCTATCCACGCACCGCAGTCAATCTTACCATGGTATCCAAAAGCATTCAGTAGCTTCATAGACACACTCAAAAGAAAAATAGCGCATTCCACGTAGAAATCAAAAAGAAGGAAGAAGTATTGGCTCTCAATGGACAATGCTTTCATTGACTTATAAATTTTTACTAAATAAGCATGAAAGATAAGTGAAGCCGACTAGTCACTTTAATTCCATTTAGTCACATCAATCTTCAATTTCTATTACCTTATCTAAGTAATAATTGTGTGATGTAAAGTACATTTAAAAATATTCTTTACCATTGGTTTGTTAAGTTTAGCTTTACGGATTCATGTACACTATCAATGTCTGTAGAGATTAGTGAAGAAATAAGTAAACAACGGGAAAAGATTATTATTATTATAATTAATTTAGTCAAAGGAATAGGCTTTAAAACAAAAGATTAAAAACTTGAAGCACTTGTGGCGCCTATAACTCATTTTTGTGGAAGTTATATGTCTTATGGAGGCCACGTATTGTTTTTGTGGAGATCAGGTGTGCTTTTGTGGAAGTCATGTGTCGTTTCTAATGGACTGCATTGCACAGTTAGTTTAACATCTCTGTTTTTTTGTAAAAAGCATTTAGGTCTATCGGCTTGATAATAATGATGATAAATATATAAAATATATATATATATGAATGATAATATATATATAAAATATAGTAATAATAATATACATATAGCTGTATATTGTAATCGCTTTTTAAATATTTTTTGGAAATTGAATTGCCTTCTAATAAACATTAGATCTTACCACATTTAGATCACTTCTTACATTAATTAATTCAGCGCAAAACATTTCAAGCAGTTTCAGCACAAGACAAATACGTAAATATTGCAAAGTACGTACGTTTAGAGCCGGTTGAACTTTGAAATCAAGTTCTAGCTTTAAACTTTCAAAAAACATTTTTAATAAGGATTAGGAAACTTTAGGATTAGGTAAACTTTAACAAAAATCAGTTCGTAATCTTTTTAGTTATGCGACAGCGTTGCAAAATTCCGTATAATCTGGAACATAGTACCATCTTTAAGTATTTTAACAGCTTATACGGAACAAATGTATTTATAAATGATTTTATGACGGGTCTCTTTTTTTCTGCAATGTCTCAAAGTTTTTCTGCGTTTTACTATAAAATATGCATCGCATTTCTTCTGAAGGACTTTCACTTTTGACGAAGGCGATCGTTTACATTTGTATTATCTAAAACTCTTCCTTTCGCAGCTATCGTTCTGCCTAAATGAATTGAAGAGTTATTTAATAAGGAAGAATTGGATAAAGTGTATAATTCCATCATCATCAAATTGTATAAAGCGATTAGTTGTGCCTGACAATTTTCCAATCCTTAGTAAACATAGATTTCCTCCACCTATTATTAATTATATATCAATTAGATATATTCTACTTCATCCACAATATACGACACTACGTCATTTATTGCAGCATTTGAAATAATTCAACAAAAAATTTCAAGCAAACCGGCAATTATCAGTATAATTTTCGCCTGTTCCCTGCATATTTCACAAATGGTTCCTTTTTAAAAGCTGATAAAGAAATTTACTTTCGCTTATAGGAAAATTAATTCTGGCATTTATGTAATAAAACCAAAAATTAAAGAAAAAAAATTCGGTAAAAAGAAAACATTTTAATAATATACAAAAGCAAGGTTAACGGTAAGTGCACGCAAGCGATAAATTGAAAATTTTATTTAACTAGCAGAGCTTGTTATGTCGGCCAACAAATCATCTATGGATGAATTATTCATTTCCGCTTCTGCTGACACCGACGATGAGGAATTTTCGCCGAATTCTAAGCTATAAAATTCGTTGGCTCTCCTTTGTTCCTCTAATGACGGCTCCGCCAAAAAACAAAGACCCAACTCTTTTTTTACTATCACCTTTTCCCAAAATGTACTCAAACGTTGCTTCATAATTTCGGCTTTAACATTTAAAATCCATATATTGTAGTCGTCATAAGCATTGAAAACAAAACTACGCTTTCGGTAGGCTTCCAGGGCGTCAGCGACTTTATTGAAATCTATAAAAAATTTCGGCTTAAATAGAAGATTCCAAACAACTGATCGTAGTTGGGAGGCATAATGGTTGAATTTAATGTCGCGTTGCGTTTGATTTTTTATCGGTAAGGCATAGTGTTTAAGAAGCTTTTTGAAATCTTCAGCAGGTGATAAAGAACGAACATGATCGAAATCGAGTTCCTCGAGAGAAGCATCATCCGCGTCTTTATCATCTTTATTCGGTGGATCATTATATTTAGCATTGATTTTCGCTTTAACTTTTGCTAACCATTCCCTGTTTATTAGTAACGGAAACTCACTTTTCACTTTTTTTGCAGCCTCTTTTGCATGTTCTTCAATCCGATCGGGAAGTTTCCAAAATTTTTCTACAAAGTTTTTATCGTTTAACATTTCCTCAAACATTGCATCGTCTTCACTGGCTTTACAAATAATTTTTCTCTCCATAATATCCATAAAGTTATGCTCGAAAATGTGAGGCAATTGGTTAAGAGGTAAGTGGCTTTTCTGTTGTCTTTCCCGAGGTAATTCAGATTCTTTTATATTTAAGGATAAATCCATGGAATCGATCAGGTGATCGATGGCATTCAATTGTTCACTAGAACACTCAGTTTTCTTTGTGGCCAATTTCGGAAATTCAAAGAAATGATATTGGGCATGATGAGCCATTTCTAACATATTTAATGAAGCTGGACAATCAGGTTGCGGCTAATTTAAATAAATATTATGTAATTACAAAAGATATCCTAATGTGCTTATATTCACCTCGTTCGGTATTAACACAACAATACGGGGCTTATTGAACTTTTCGCTGTACACTTTCCAACACAATATGACCCGATTGCACTTCAATAATACCCTTACCAGAGCATCCAACTTTTTAGCAGAGGCTGTCATTCCCCTTTGGTGTAATATTAAATAAGTAGATTGCCCACTGAAGTATTCATCGTAAACTAAATTGCGAGGAATGAAACCCATAAAAGTTAATCCTTTAGGCAATTTCAGTTTATCATCATCTACTGTTTCATCATAGGGAATAGGGGAGCCTCCCAACATGTAGCCATCCATAAGACTATCTTGTTCAGGGCATATCTGATTGCCAGAAATGAAATAACCCCATTCTTTGGTTAATTCTTCATCCGTCTCATTCCAAATCATCCGCAACTTAACGGTACTTTCATTTTTCGCCATTATAATCCCGCTAACGGCTATGGATATAGCTGAACCTATACGTAAATTACTATTCCAACACCAGGGACGAGAGCTTTTCACATTTACAATTACATTAAATGCCTCCGTACAATTGCTCAGTTTTGCGTTACTATGAGAAACTAAACGCAAAGCATATTTCTGATTTTCTAGTTGCTCATCTGATTTCCTGTCGGTCAAAAAAACCGCTTGGGGCTCATTATTGTCAGCGTTATCAATGTAGCCAATATTGTCGGAACTAAAATAAGGAAAGGCTACTGTTAATGTACTATCGGAAACTTTTTTCACTTACACCACTATTAAATTCACTTCATATTGCAGTAAGCTTTGCGTTATTTCATTGTAAGCATCATAAGTATTGTGGCCATAATCGAAATCGTAAAATAAAACAATTCGTGAATTTTTCACTTTATTTTGCCTAGAAAACAATTGAAAACGTTTATGCCGAAAACTCTCTTGTTTTTATTTACTTACTCTGAAGCACTCTTTAACATATTAAATGCTACCACCACAGCGTCCAACCACTTGCCTTCATTGCCAGCTGTCTCATTAACAAATTGATAAAAATTCATTAAGAGCCGCCAAGAGGTAGGCGCGAATTCTTCACCATATTGAAAGATGTTCAAATAACCTTTAGGAGAATCATTGCTGTTGATTTCGTTGCAAGTTTCAGCAGTACCTACTAGAACAAATGATATAAAATCTTTTTTGGCACAGCAAATCTAAAATAAAAAAAATATAACATTAACTGCTTTTTGATTCGATATCATTTACCTTCTGCTTAATAACATTCGCGCATATCTTTATAGATTTTTGTTTAAACTCTTCTGAGGTACCTTGACGTACATCTAGTACAAACACAAGATTTTCCTGGAATGTAAAGGAGACGGAACATTTTATAACGCTTTCAATTTTGAAAGGGCAACGGGCTTTTTTTTGTTTCTTGAGAACGTTTGGAGGGAGGCTTTTCTATCCGTCCTTAATTCAAAGTCTTTGCCTGTTCTAAAGTTTACCTTATTAAAAGCCATTTCCTTTTTTTTTATCGTTTACTGGATGTAGAGTTAAGATGGACAAGCCATTTATTTTAAAATTAATTTCACAAGTTTAAATAAGATATTGTCAAAACAGCTGTTCTCGTATATTTACTGCTAAACCGCTTCAGCATCACTCTTCACTAGTATGGGTAGCACTGTGTTTTTTTTTTCCTTGTCAATGATTGCAACGTTTAAAAAATTTAGTGTATCGTTTTGTTGTTGTAAATTGGTACCGTGTCTTTTGTTTGTTATTCAGCAATAACTAAATACAAAGAAAATACAATGCAACCCTGCATTCGACTTATAAGCGGTCTTTTTCTTGCTGCTCAAATATTTTGACTGAAATTGATTACAAATCAATGGGGAGGGTATGGAAATTTGAATGAAAAACAGACAAATTGATTACAAGTAATGAGGGGCATAGAGGGTACGCACGCTGGCGATTAAACTTAAAAAAAATTTGTACAATATATCAAGCTTCGGATTGAAACGTTATAAGCATAAGTTCTAGTAAATAATTTGCAAGTAGATATTTCTAAGCCATTTACTATAGTGTTTTCATTTGATAAAATTAAAGAATTTAGATTTTATTAGATAAAAGGTATTTTCAATATCTAACAACTGAACAAAAGTAATCGTTTAATGAAAAAGTGAAATTTGCCAAGTTTATTCAAAGTCAAGCGATTTAGTTATTTGTTTGTTCGTCTGGTGTGTACCCAAATATCTTTATGTTCAGTCTGCGGGACGCAATTTGTGAGATATTTGGTGCTCTTACCCAAAGGCAAAGGCAAACCCTGTTTAAAATGGAAGTGGGAGTGGAGAGAAGCTTTTGAACATAAAACTTTTTATATGTTAAAAATGTGTAATTTTTACTATTTCGTGATTGACAAAGAAGTCAATCTTAAAGCAAAGTTATTTAACCGTACTTTTCAAAAAAAAATTTTTATTAGTTAATTGGAATCATTTCAGTCAAACTGAAACATGGTTTATATTGAAAACGCTTCAATAAGCGGAAGATAGAGTGCTTTGTAGGTGAATCTTTGCATGGTGGGATTTAGCGTCTTTTGAAACAAAGGCTTGCAGTCAATATATAATGGGGGTATAATGGGAGATGGCCTCGATACCGACACAAATTACAATTATACATGTTTTGATGAACACAATAAAGGGTCGCGGTGATGATTGTTTTTTATTACGTAACTAATATTTTAAAATTAGATTCCAAGTTTAATATAGTTTTTTTTTTCATTATTTATTTATAAATTAGTTTTTGTCTTCACCGTCGTCGTCATCGTCGGTCGTGAAGAAATTTGAGTAGCATTCTAAACGACTTTCAATTGAATCTTTTGTTTTTAACTCATTAACAAATTCAATAAATTTTTTATATTTTTCCAAATCCTTTTCATCTAAGGTGGCTTTAAACTTATCAAATTCCACGAAGAATTCTACGATGGCCTTATCTAAGCGTTGCTTAGACTCTTCGATAAACTTATCCATGCCATGTTTATTCAAATATCCTTCTATCAAATAATCTAACTTGGTGGGCTCTTCCAATTCCTTCGTCTCATACATGTCTGTGTAATTGCCGAAAAGTATCAATAAATTCAATTCGTCTTCGATACCATTAACATTTTTAGTTTTATCAAGATAATCAGTTAAGTTTTTTGCAAATTCTTTTACGGCAGGTAAGTCATTATTCAAAATTTCAGGGTCAGCTAGAATAGCTTCACTCAAACTGACGGATTCCGTATAAAAGAAATTAAAGAATTTCTTATATTCTCTAATAAAGAAAACCGCTAAAATCTCCTTCGGAGTTAATTCATCCCGATTGAATTTATTTTTAATGTGTTGAACAAATTTCTCCTCAGTATCTAATTCCTTAAAATCGAATTTACTCTCGGGTATTGGAGTAGCTGAAGAATACTGAAAGCAAAATTAAAAAAAAAAAAAAAATGTTAAATAAAATTAAACAAACGATTTAAGAGCAGAAAATTGCACTTACTTTAGCTGCTAAGATTAATGAAAGAACTATAATTTTTAAGCTAAACGCCATGATGTTCGCGCAAACAGATAGACAAAAAACATGTAATCACACTGAACTAGTAAATCTTCTGCTTTTATACTCAGACTTGTGCTTATCACCGTTTTTAAGCCTTAAGCGACACAACAAACAGCAAAAAAAAAAGAAAAAAAAAGAAGAAAATATTTGTGCAAACAACTGTGTGCGCTTAAACGATTCGAGGCTATTTGATAATCTTGGAAATTATATTCGAACCACTAATGCGTTTCAAAGTGCGCTGAGAACTGTAAAATAGAAAACGAAAGTAAATACCAATGTACACACAAACTTTTGGGTAATAGTGTACGGCAAGGTGTTTCGAAAAAAACGAAATCTTTCGGAATTTTTAACGAATGATTGGGTTAATTATATATACATAGGTCATGCAAAATTTAATCTAAAATTGAGAATTTCAACTCCAATCATGAAATTTATTTGAATATGAAAAGACCGAAAAATTGATTTCAGATGAACCCTTTCAAAAAACGGTTTTCGTGCTTTGGGCAACCATGAGAATCCCTCTACTGGCATAGACACAAACGAAGTATCTAGGAAGCCTGACCCAAATTTCTTACAATTTTGAAGAGTTAAAATAAGTTTTGCTAGAGACTCACTATAGTTACGAGCCAACTGGGAAGGAGGGTCCATTATGTGGAAAAATTAATTTTAAGTCACTCGTTCGAGATTACTCTTAGATATTTCATTATTAAGTTTTTACATACTTTCGTCAAAGCACAAATCCCTTGAAAGGGTTCAAATTTTCTTTCTTAAATTTAAATGCATTTGTAAAAAATTCAAGAAGACTTCACAAGTTACTCCATGGTTACGAATCACTAATACAGAATTTTTTCACTGCTTTGGGTTTGAGGTTATGTTATAAAAATCAATGCTTCCTATGGAATAGAAGAGATTTCCAACCCATTTGCAAATTATTTAAATTTTTAATAACATTTATTATTTATAATGTAGTTACTTAAAGCAGAGTAGAAAAGTGACCAATTAAACGCCTTTTTAAGAACACTGGAAATTACAACATTTCCGAATAAATAAAATACACAGCAAGGAAGAAGTAATTGCGACTTCCTGCGACATTTATCGATCGTGCGGCAGATTGTGTAGTATTTTTCGCAAGGATTTAATTCCAAGTTCATATAAAATCAAATTGCCTTGACGAGGAAAGCCAAATTACTCTCATTCTTACCATTATCATATTGTAAGCTTCTTAAACATATTTATGATTAATATGCCAATCATTGAAAGATAAGGGGAATATTCATTTTGTCAAAACGTTTGCAACGTTTGCCTACAACGAAGCATCAGAGACCTCATAAAGTATGTATATTCTAGATCAGCATCAAATTCTAAATCGATTTAAGCATGTCCGTCTGTCCATCTGTGTAATGTCTGTTGTAAATATTCCCTTTCCGAAAAAATAAAGCTATCGACTTAAAGTTTGGTAGAAACAGTGGAGGTTCTTGCGCTAAGATTGGTGTTGAAAATGGGCCAAATCGGACACGCCCGCACAGATATTGAGAATACCTCTTTTTTCCAAAGGCAATGAAAAATTGGTTCGTTGCTCATTACTTATAAATTACAGCAAATAAATCTACGAAAATTTGAACGCCGATGCCGTAGCACTTGTGCTCCAAAATGCAGAAAATTGACCACGCCTACCCAATATGATAGTGTATTAGAATTTAATTGTGTTTTCAATACCTTTATAATGCGCAGAAACAAGAAACAAAGTTTATAAATTTTTGGCCAGTTTCAAATTTGGAATACACCTATACATGCCGGCCTGTTCGTCTGTCCGTCTGTCTGTTTGCAGTTGTGTTTGTGGTAAACATTTCCCCGTTAGCGAAAATGAACATATCGTATAAAAACTTACAAAATATTTTGGAGTTGACCTAAATTTTTCAAAAGTTCCGCCTACAATGCCCGCATGCCTATACAATCAAAACTTTTATTTTGAAAATAGAAGAAACCAGCTACGCCCACTCCATAATATAGAGCATGCAAATTTTGTTCTTTTACTTCTTTTGCGTCTTTTGCGGTCTTGTAAAAAGAATGACAAAATTAAAGGAAACATCATACGCTTGCCAAGCACCTTCTTAGGTATTTCAGATAATATGGCTGAAGTTTAGATTAATATTTATTGTATAGTTTCCTATTCTAGGTGGAGTGTAACTTACGTTTAGTTTGCCTGTTTGAACTATTTTGCTAAAATTAGATAAACTGGAGTGACTGAGTAGTTAGTGCCTTTCAAACACATTTTAACCGATCAGAGTAAAAAATTCAAACAATTTTGCAAATTTTGGGAGTGTCACTTGACCGATAAGACATGTTCGTCCAATAGATTTATAAATGAGGTTTAGTAATGCGTGGCGATGTATATCAATTGTTAGACCAAAATCCTGTATAATAACGTTACGCTCTCTTTCGTCGTTCAAGGCGTAGTTGCGTTTATTTCAGAACTTAATTTATGTTTTGTTTTTGAATTTTTTTTTTTTTTTTGTGAACATTTCAAGCAGGGTCGATAAACAAGTATATGAGCGAATAGACAAACCAAAAAATATCGTCTTAGAATCCAGAATAGTTCGCGTAGGATGTCGACAGATTAAAATATTGCTTGCTTGGGACGCTTAGTTAGCTAAAAATAAATGCCACGTGGAAAGCTTTTCGGGCTTGATTCAACATATCTTGTTAGAAATGAAGAGGAGATAGGCGTAATAGATCTACGAATATAAGAAAGCCTTTCAAATAATGACTGGATGTAGTGAAACAACGAAATAAAAACTTTTTTTTTTTATTACTTTCGAAACATTTCGAAATCATTTTGGGGACATTGTATGCTTTTATCCAAAATATGAAAATTTAATATCAATTAAAAGTAAGTTTTACGTTTAAAATAAATCTGTGTAGAGAGCTTTCGAACAATAATCTTTTTGTCGAACGTGCTGGGAATATAGTTCTACCATTGTAACGAGTTTCAATTTACAAAATGTCTTTCATGAAGAGTGATATTTTGTCAAATTTGAGGAGAAAAAAAACAACTGAACGTTTGAAAACTTTTTGAAATTTAAGTTTTGCAGTCACGATCTCAACAAGATGTCTTTTAAGCCTCCCTTTCAACAAACTGGCTCCAATTGCAACTCACCTTAATGTTTTAATGGCTTCGTTAAAACGCAAAATTGTTGTTAGTGGAGTGAGAGGACAAGTGCTTGAGGAAATGTTGCGGTGTCATACAGCTCGATTTGCTGAGAGAGAAGTTTAGCGATCGCATTATCTTAAGACGTGGATTGGTGCATGTATTGCTCTCTTCGCGGCTATTTCAAAGCCCAAATGTATGTCGCGACGGTACAAACTTTCAAACATATGGAGGCGAACATTCACCCACCTATCACGCACTTGTAACGCAATCAATGTCGGGCAGAGTGATTACCAATTGGAGCCATCGTGCGGTAGTGCAGAGACAGTTTATTACACTACGCGGCTTTTTTATGATTTAAAAAGAAATCATTCAAATGCCTTAAGATAAGTAAAAAAAATGTATTGAACGCTTTACGAACCTCTCAACTGCTAGAAGACAATGCAATTATTATTATATTCAAAAATTATTTATTTTAATAAATTAATTTTTCAAAAAATTGAAAATAATCGATAAATTTTCTAATTTTCTCGATAATGTCATCTTCCTTTTGGAATTCTTCAAACCAATCGAAAACTTTCTTGTGATCTCTCTTTTCATTTTCATTAAAAGTTTCCAAATATTGATGAAAATCTTTGGTGAATTTGTCGAAATATTCTTTGAAACGTGCTTTGAAAGATGCGTTTAGCTCCTTAATGCCATTTTTGGCAAACAATTTAAAGTAGACATCGTCCGCATTCTCACCGACCTTGTCCACGTCAAGGTACGTTATGAATAAGCCACAAATATCTAAAGCAGTTGACAGATTTGCTTTATCTGCATTCTTTTGATAATCGTGAAGCTTTTTTGACATCTCCGAATAAGCCAAGCTATTCATTGTTGCCGAATAGGGATCCAATTGAGTCAAGTCTTGTAAGTCATCTACAACTTTATCCAATATATTAGCAAAACTCTCTGCTATAGGTTGATTCAATTTTACAAATTCATTCACCGATTTTTTATAAAATTCATTATTCCCATCGAATTCGTGCTGAGAAGTAAAATCTTCTACGGAAGCGGCCAAATAGCGCTATAAGGTTAAAAATTTCTAAAAATTATTTTTTCTTTAATTTTGAAAAAAAACGTTACCTTTCCGTTAGAAATTAGAAGGAGTGAAGCTAAGATATACAATTTCATTTCGAATATATTTTCGCAAATGTTTGATATTTCATCCGAGTTTTTTTTGCCTTTTTATACTTTCAGCGGCTGCTTATCGCTCATGGACAAGCACAATTTCTTCTTATCGTTAATTATTCAATGAAAAGATTATATATATATATATATACATATATGTATATTTTTTTTTTGCTTACATTTATTATTTACTTAAAAATCGCAACTTAATATAATTAAAATTTATTCATTTTTTAATAAATCGGGTGCAAAAAATTTAAAGAATGTCACAAATGAGGTAAATTTCTTGGCAAAGCTTTGCTCCTCTTTGAATTCTTTAAACCATTGTATTAATTTTGCTTGACTTTCCAGCTGCTCATCGCTTAAGCTTTGTTCATATTCTACAAAATTGGTCTCGAAATTTCTCAAATATTCGGCGAAACCCTTGCGGAAATCATGGACAATAGCTTTAGCGCCATATTTTTCAAACAGCTGATGGATAAGAGTCTGTTTGGCCTGATGGGTCTCTTTAAATTCTTTAGCGGCACTCAGTAAAATTTCATGGAGTTTAAGCATATTTGCTAAAGTTTTCTCGTTTTCATTCCTTTTCATTGCCGCCACATAGCGTAGAACATCGTCAAGTTCGGCTTTTTGTGATTGAAAAGCGGAGCCCTCATCATGTTGCTTCAAATCCGCCAACACTTTCTCACACATGCCAGCAAAACGTTCTGCAAAGGTATACGAATGATCTAGATATTCCTTCAACGTGCTTTTATAAAACTGATTGTTTTCATTTAATTCCTTTTCTAGCACCTCGGTAGCAAGGATGATCTAAAATTTAAAAAAAAAAAAAAAAAAGAAAACTATTTATAATTGATCTTAAAAAAAAAGAAGCGATTTTTATGCATTTTTACTTGTGCTACCAGTACGGCGATTACGAATACTTTCATTTTATGTTTGTTTACTTTTTTTTTCTTCTTTAAAACTTTCACTATCTATTTAATGTTTTCAACTGTCACAATTTTATTGGAAGGGTTTTCTTTTTATACGTTCGTAGCCTTTGACGGAAGACACTGTTCTTTCTTATCTGTTAGTTAATAGAGCCTAAGGGGCCTTATCATGGAATAATTGGACAAAAGGTCAATATTTTTATAGTTTGAAATATATGAAGATATAATTTTATTAAATTGTAAGTAGTACTGGTTATACCCTATACCCTATTTTAAAATCGCTGTAACACTTGACAATTTCATGAATCCTCATACGGCTTCTAGTTATAGTAACTTAAGTTGAATACGTTTGATAATTTATGGTCGGTGCAATCATCAAAGAGGATCAGGTATTCAATTCATGGCCTATGTATTTTCCAATGGCTTAGTGTCGGTAATAAAGCGAAGAATAAGAAGTGAGCAGATTATGGTAGCTAAGCGGAAGATTTTTGGTGATCACCATTTCTGCTATCGAGTCGTTAAGTATTTTCTGGCAAAAGTGGTAAAACTGTGCGTCCCCGCCATATACGAACCGATGACAAAATCAGTTTGTTAAAAAAAGTTTATTGTGATGGAATTGGAATGTTTTATATCAGTTTAGTATGGTGAAATGCTAATACTCAGAAATGTTTGTCGAGAATATATTGCTATTTTCAAAATAAGTCGTCAAATGGGTGGTGATAATAAAACTTAGCCGATCCAATCGAGCTTGAATACCGTTCATTGTTGTTCACGTTTCTCAAAAGAAATAACAGCCTTGCTGGACGGATGTTAGTAGGACAGACATACCAACAAATACACATAATCAAATGAGAAAATGATTCTGAATCGATCGGTATAATAAAAGGTGAGTGCTAATATATCGCTATAATAAAAGGTGAGTGCATCTTAATCTATTCTGGCTGTCATTTACGTCCAACCTTAATACAGCCTCCAGCACAGGTAGTGTAGGGTGTAATGAATTTTAGTGCGAACAAACTGAGCCTTAGACGCCGACATTCCCGTTGATGCATTATCTGTTACTTTTACATTGTTGGGAAGCACCAGGTGTTCTAATTCAAAACAGACTTTCTTACTTTGTAAATATTAAGATGTGTGAGTATTCCTCTTCTCATAACATGTATGTAATTTTGTACGTGGAAATAATAAACGGTTATTTTCCTTACTTTTAAATCTACGGCAACTAAGGTTTGATCACACTTTTCTCTCCTTTTCTCGTGTAAACTAAGGAACGACTCGAAAATGTGTTTTCTTTCCGATAAAAGAATGCTGAACGAGGACCGGCTGGCGGTAAAATGAAAAATTAAGATCTGATCTGTGTTATATAATCTGTTTATGTGATTTATTCAGTTGGAGATCCATTAAGGTCGATATAGCAGTTATTTTGATATTGAGATTTGAGCAGTTATTGAAATATTTTGATAAAACTCAGCAAGAAAAATTGCTTAGAGCAGAAAGTGTGATTCTGATTCACCTTCTATCTTTCTATCCAAATTTCTAAGAGCTTCAACAGCATAAGCAAACGGGTAACCAAGTGAAACCATAACTTGGTTATCTTACATTACGATTGTTTTCCGTTTACAACAGTTCCTTTTTATATCCAAGGCCTAAGGATGGACGTATACCCATTTTGCCAAACCGTTCGCAACATCCAGGAGAAAATCTCAAGACTCCACAAAGCATGTATATTACTAAACAAAATCAAATTCTGAATCGATCTAAGTCTGGCCTTCTGTCCGTCTGTTCTAAAGATTCTCCTGGCGGCGAAAATGAACCGATCGGAAGAAAACAATTTAACATCGTCAACGTACATTAAGATGTGGCTGGGTTTAATCATCGTGGGGAGATCATTAATGTATAGATTAAATAAAAGGGGTCCTAAGTGAGTGCCTTAACGGACGCTAGACGTCACTTTCTCCTTGAATGGTACATTTGGAATGCCTTGTTTCAGTTTAATTCTCCAGTTAATAAAAGCTGCAAATTCCACTTCTCCGTATCGTTGGTTTAGGATATGTTTATTTCCATTTTGTATTTTACGATGAACTCTATTGAAAACAGTTCAGCTGAGACCAGTTTTTCGATCTCTATCCAAACAACGCCTTACTTTGAAAAGTCATTATATTAGTAATTCTGGGTTGTTGTGAAGTATTTAACAGCGGTCCGTAGTCCAATGTAGTGCTTTAACTTGTTTTATTATGTGTTCAATTTTTGTAAAAACATTATCGGTTGACGACAGTTGTGACAATGGCTACAATGAATATTTAGATGCTTCATATGGGGCTATAATAGCATATCTTTGCAGGCTGTAATTAGCAAGGAAGTCCAATTGAGTATCATCATAAGAGAAAAAAATATCGTTTTCTCGAGTGCTGTGTTGTAAAATATTCTTGAGAAATTTTTTCAAATTCTTCAAGGCTTTCTTTATATGTTTCTCGTGTAATACATAAAAAAGACTCTCTTTGGCTTAGGATTTCTTAAGGGGATTGTAAATAGTTACTATCAAATGCACCATCAATCCTAAGATATATATCACAAAATATTTTCTTGAACAGAAGCTCCCAAAACGTTCGCCTACTTAATCTAATCAATCGTTTGATTCTTTATGTTGAACGCTGATCTAATAGTCTTCGAAAGCGTTAACCAGAGGGCAGTGGACGTTTTAAAAAATTGTTTTATATAACAAGTCATTTCTGTTAAGCTCATCCAGCGAATTTGTAGCACCACCTTCTCATGCCGAACTGGGAGAGGAGTGCAAGAAGCATTAGTGAGTAAAAGTACAATGAAATACAAATAAGTGTCAGTATGGCTTACTAATAACATTTACACGTATAACCAGCAGCAACGCTAAGAGGATTAATGTAAATGTTCTCATTGTGTGCTTTGCAAGATCGAATTTCAACGAAGGCGGCTGTTTTTAATACTTTCAAAATTAATTATCGCCTAAATTAATCTTATCATATTTAGTTCATATTTAATGATGTCCAACGTTAATGCCTGCACTACCAGTCTACATTGTAAACTTTAACAGAATCTAAAAATTTTAATAGTTTTTAATAAATTTAAAAATTAAAAAAATATTACATGATTTCAAGAACCCGACATTTAAAGAAACTGGCAAGTCTTACGTACACATTGCTGGTGAATGCTATATAACTTCTTAACTCCCTTTATTTTCGATTATAACAGAATTTTAACCAATATTGTGTTTCTGTAAAATACGTTCTTTTTACGGACTTGATATGTGCTCTGACCCTTCCAGGATATGAGGAAAGAAATTCATTATCTAGAGGAGTTTTTTTTATTTAGAATTTCGAAATTTTTCCCAAACGTTCATAAAAGACTATTCGTATCAAGTGAATTCCTGCTGAGAAGTTACATATGAATGTTCTACTCGTTGATTTACAACTTTTTTAATCGACTATCAGCTATCCTTAGAAAGTGTTTCTACATTAGCATAGCTTCGAAAGGCGGGTTCGGCTGCTATGAAACTGAAAGTCAGCTTTGAAGAATTTCGTGTTATTTATGAATTATTTCTTGCCGTTTCTTCTGTCCTTTCGAAGCACGTTATTTGTAAATTTGTGATTCTAGAAGCAGCGAAATCTGCAGGCTCTACAGTAAAGCCTTCAAGACAGGAGAACGAGGAAGAACATTTGAACATGAAAAGGCAATTTTATAGTCTTCGGACTGCAGACTAAAGTTAAAAATTGAGAAAAACTTTATGATAATAAAAAAAATTAACCATTCCATGTTAAACGCCCATTTCGAAATAGTCCATGAAAAAAGCTGAAAAGAAAATAGCAAAAAGTGCTTCAGGACAGACCAAATAGAGTTATCGTGACTCTGGCACGATGGTCATTAAACAATCCAAAAATGCGTTATGTTTGAATTATTTCAAGTAATGGATAGTCTCTTGGAAATTTAATAATCAACGATTCTCTGCGCCTACCCCTTCACAGGAGGCAACGAAAAATCTTCGATTTCTTGAGAACATAATACTTCATGTGTGCTTTAAAGGCCAACCGCTTTTCGATTAGAAAACTGACATCGGAAAGAGAGGATAAGGCGAGCAGAGATGTAAACTGAATGAACATTAGTTTTAAGTAACACTGTTCACAACGCTGACTGTAGCCATATGATTGTTCATTAGCGATTAACGTATAAACCGAAAACGGTAGTTCGCTTATGCTTTGAGCAATCAGGAGCAGGTATTCAAGCATCCCCATTACAAACGTTTACGCCCGATTTCGGTAATCTTAATCCTTTCAAAAAGTTAGCTATACCTAAACTACCTAAATTGGATTTTACGCATAATATACATTACTAATGTATTTATCTCAGCCTACATTACTGACGTACTTAGCACAAACCTTCAGAGCGATCAAAAATCAGCATCACATTTCTAGCACTCTCAAGTCCTGCTTATATAAGCCCGCATCTGATGCATTATTCATATTACAATAGTAAACATTCAGATCATCTTAAAGCTAGAGAGCTTTTACTTACTAAACAATTGGAAACAAGTACAAGTCGAGGAACCTAAGCAAAAAGTGTGTGAAATACTCAGTAAATATGCGAAAGAGCACGAGGAACGAGGAGGATCAATCGATCGTAAAGATTGACTTTGATTTTGCTAACCTTTGCAAATAAAATGCAAGTGAATGAAGATTATAATAATCGATTTAGCGATGACACCTACTAAGTGCAGTTAGTGCAGAACTAAAAAGGGTTTTTGTATATCTTCGTTTTCTTATTTATATACCTTATAGGAAAACCTCAACTCACAACAAATGTAAATAAATTGGATATTAAATTTAGAAAAATTATTTAAATTTGTTTCCACGTCTCCATTGTGTACATGTTATATTTGGTGAACAGATTAATTACATCTTTTGCTCTTATTCTTTATGATGGAAAAACTTAAAGAAATCGAAGAATTTTTCCAATTTCTTTTCAAAATTATCTGATTCCTTGAACTCCTTGAAACATTTTAAAAAGTCTTCGTGTTCGGCTTTTTCCTCTTCGCTCATTTCCTTAGCATATTTCTCGAAAGCATCATCGAAACCATCAAAGAATTCAACGAAATCCTTACGGATCTCCTCAGCCAACTCCTTGCCGCCATCTTTTTCAAATAAGTCACGGACCAGATGAGGATTTGACGATTCGTTGCTTGGCTCCTGAGCACCTGCTCCATCATCCTTAAGGGCTATGATATTTTGCAAAATTTCCTCATCAGTATCGGCTTTGATATGTTTGAAGCCTTCAATAAGTTTTTCTAAATGTTCTATTTGATGCTCATATTTAGGCGCTTCTTCGTGGGCTTTCAAATCTTCTACAACTTTTTCTAACACCTCACAATACCGCTCGCTCAAAGGAATTGCGATTTCAACAAGGGCTTTAGCAGTTTCTTTATACAATTTATTATCTGTATTGTATTCATGATGAGAGGCGAAGCACGACTAAAGGGAAGAAAAACCAGGATAATAAATCGGCTTATTATCACTGTTATAATGTTTTGTTAATACATACCTGGAGCACCAGGAGCATTCCAAGAAAAGTTAATGTCACGTAACTCATTTTTCTAACAAATCTGATGATAGCTTTAACTGAAAGTTTCACACTAATACTTCACTAATGCTGTTACATGCCTTTTATACCTCCTCTAGGTGTTACCTTATCAATGAAAATTGTGCTAAAAGGTTAAGAGAGATTATTAAAAACATTCAACGTTTAATAATTGAATTAATGGAAATCATCATTAAATATTTAGTGCCGCCCATATGATCTGCTACAACAAACAATAACTGATTAATGGTTCTCTACTTTTAGCTATGAACTTACATTAATAATCGAGATAAATATAAATGTTTACTTACAGACGATTAAAAATTAATATAACCCGGTTAAAAAATGAACGAAACGACCTACATGCGAAAAGCTACTTCGCTCAGCTGGCGTGTTGCATTTATTGTTATCAGACGCGAGTAAACAGTGCTGTGGATAGACTTGTCCTCCTCCAATACCTTCTTATTTTTGATATTTAAAGGACTTAATGTTTTCCTTTCGCTCCTTCCTAACGAGCATCCCCTACCCATCACTTATTTATCTAAATGTTTAATATAAAAAAGACATCCGATGCTCACATGTAAATTGTTCTCCCATTTCTTCGCTGATAAACTATTTAATTATATTTTTAATCACTAACGTTTAATTATTCAAAAGAAAAGTTTAGTTTTTATAAAGAAATGGAGAGAAAATATGCTTAGAAAATAATTAATTATTCTTGTTAATTTAATTAAAATTTATTTAATACATCCACCACTGAGGGTTGGGGATATCCTCATTTTGTTTTTTTTTTTTTTCATAATGCATGTAATGCCTAAAAGCAAGCCTCAGAGGTCCTAAAAAGTATATATATCCTTGATCAGCGTGAAATTCTGAATTGATTAAGACATATGTGCGTTGTTGGTACTCTCCTCTCCTCTCTCTTAAGATATCGACTTCAAATTTGGTAGAAACATTTTAAGTTTTTGCACGCAAGTTGGTATTGAAAATGGGGCAAATTGCTCAGAGTGGAGACTCGCAGTGGAGCGTGAACTGAACGCAAATCGATTTTTCGTAAAAAAAAATTGTAGCCTTTTGCTCGTTTGCTTGAACGTTAATATTATAGTTTATTACTTAATAATCGCTGATTATCCTTTTTTTTTAAATTTTAAAATTAATTCATCAACATTTAAAATATTTAGAATGATTTTCGTTCTTCTTGTATTGTTGCAATTACTCTTCCTTAAGCATTATGGACAGTAATCGAAGCAGGAAGAAATTAACTCTTACATCTCCCGCATGGTGTTTGTTATGACTTTTCTGATCTCTGATTGAGCATAGGTATGTTTGAATAGCAGAAATTAATTTAGTCACACAAAAGAACCCTTCGCTTGAAAATATTCGTTTTACAAAATTGTTTTATTACTTTTATTAAATCAACCTTCTTATAACTTTGAAAATAATCAGAGAAGTTCCATTATTGTGCTACTTGTATTCCGTCAATATTCTATTATTGTCAATCTTAGATTTGAAAATTTTTCCGAAATAGTCGTCAAGTGCTGCCCACCTTTCGTTTTATCGGGGGACCTGCACTGAGCTTATACTTCATCTACGAATGCGCTACTTCAATGAGCCATCCTAACACCCTACATAGTATTCCCCCACGCTACGAATATACCGTTAACTCCCCTCTCCCTGCTAGGAACATAGAAATTCTGTTGTTCTCGTTTGACAGCATAATACACGTAGTTATTTCTGGGGCTGTTCCGATCACGGGCCCACCGTGGCCCAACAGTGTACTTAAATACTGCAAGAGTAAGGAACACACAATTTTTAAAAATTATATGGAAAGCGAGATCTGCGCACGACTATTCAAAACTTCACTTCGGAATAATCCCAAGCGATTTTATAGATTTCTTAACTCTAAAAGAAGAGAGCTTCCGCGTTTTGTGCGTAGATGTCTTCTAATGGTTCTGACTCCTCTCTGACTCTGAGTCATGATATCTCCCATCTCTTTGTCAACTGTTTGCAGCGAAATTTTTTTACTGCTAGTTTCGATTCTGCTGATAGCTGTTCATGTCAAATAATTAACTCTGCTTTGATTCTCTGATTGTCCCATGTATTTTTAAACCATGCACCATTGAACTAAATCAATTAAATATTTACAAGGCGAGACTAAGAGAAATATACATAGCTGTTAGTTAGATTGCGATGAAGGCAGAGTGAGGCTTAGTCATCGCACTATCAGCTCACTTGACCCCCCTCGATTATTACTACTAATAATAAGAAAGGTATGTCTCAAGCACAATTGTATTAAGTTTTAAATTTTGTTTTGTTTTATTCTTGTCGATTTTAGAAATCCAAGTATAGATTCGCATGTGAACGGACGAAAATGATTTAACTGAGTAGCAAGGAATTGCATATATCACAAGATAAGCGAGATAAAGTTACTGTTAGTATGAAAAAACTTTTTGCTTAACAAAAAAAAAATAATTATTTAAATCATTCGTTTCTGCTTTTTTAATTATATATATAACGTTTTGCATTTTTATTTATGCCATCATTCATATTTAAGGTCTACATTGAAAAATTTAAAGAACTCTAAAAACTTTTTGAATTGTTTCTCGAAACCAACTGTTTTCTGCAACTCCTTGACCCAATCTATAAAGTCTGTGTGATCGGCTTTTTCCTCTTCACTCAATTTTTCAAAATATTCATTGAAAACTTTATTGAATCCTTCAATGAATTGAACAAAATCGCCACGGAGATCTTCAGCTAATTCTTTGCCACCGTGTTGCTTTTCAGCATCGATCACGGCATCCTTGAGTTTTAGGATATTACTCAATGTTTCTTCAACAGTATCAGCTTTGATATCTTTAAAATCTTTAATAAGTTTGTCCATATGTTCTATTTGATGTTCATATTTAGATCGTTTTTCGTTATCTTTCAAATTGTCTTTAACTTCATCTAACAATTCAACATATAGATCATGGAATGGAAAACCATTCCGTACCTAATAAGCGCTTTAACGGTATCTTTATACAATTTATTCTCTCTATTAAACTCAGCGACTGGTTTAGCAATAGAAAAGGATGACTAAACGAAAAAAAACTTATATTACGAATATGCTTATTACCATTGTTATTGTCCATATTTATTTTTTACCTGGAAGAACAGGAGCATTCCAAGGAAAGCTAACTTTAAACAAGTCATTTGCTTACATACAACCTTGCTAATAAAATTTAGGTGCAAATTTCATATTAATGCTTAACTAATGCTATTACAAGCCTTTCATATCTTTTTGTCAAACTTTTGCATGTTCGCATCGATTTAGTTGCTCACTCCTAGCTTGGATCTACATTTGTGTGCCGCTATGATAGAAGAGCACGCACTACATTTTTCTTCTTAGTTTTGTTCTTGTACATTCATAGATGGATTTGAAGAACTTGTTTCTTCAATATACGCTGCGCGACTGGGGAAGAGCTTGAGAAAGACCCATCCAAAGTGAAGTTTAAGCTTAAGCTTTTAATTTAGAAGAAATTTTGCATTAAGGAAAATAAGGGAAATTGTATTAACTTTTAATTTCTGGTCTGTCTTTTCTTTGTGGGCTTTATAGTTTCAAAAATAGATGGACACGCGGATGGACGAAAATGATTTACTTGACTAATTCAGATATGCATGTATCACAAGATAAACGAGATAATGTTACTGTTACTATGAAATCTTTGGCTATCATTATTAAAAATCTTTTTGTTTAACAAAAAAATCATTTAAATTAAGTGTTTTTTGTTTCAATAATATACAACGTTTTACATTCTTATGTAGGCTATTGTCAGTGTTTATCCGGATTGAAAAATGTAAAGAATTCTATAAACTTTTCAAATTCGTTCTCGAAACAATCTGCTTCCTTGAACTCCTTGAACAATTTTAAAAAGTCGTTGTGATCGCGTTTTTCCTCTTCACTTAATTCTTTAGCATATTCTTCGAAAGCATCATCGAAACCATCAAAGAATTCAAGGAAATGCGTACGGAGCTCCTCAGTCAACTCCTTGCCGCCATCTTTTTCAAATAAGTCCCGGACCAGATGAGGAGTTGACGATTCGTTGCTTGGCTCCTCAGCTAAATCTTTGGAACCATCTTTGTTAAACAATTCACTGAAATGAGTCGGTTTTGACGAGCTTTTGCTTGACTCGTGAGCACCGGACACGTCACCTTTAAGTTTTAGGATATTATGCGATGTTTCTTCAACACACTCGGCTTTCAAATGCTTAAAGCTTTTAATAAGTTCTTCCAAATGTTTTATTTGATGTTCACATTTAGACTCTAGAACTTTTACTAACACATCATCAAAATATTCACCTAAGGATATTGCGAATTTAATAAGCGCTTAATTGGTCGACTTATAGAATGCGTTGTCTGCATTGAAGTCATTGTGAGAGGCGGGCAATTCGGCACCTGGCCTAGGAATAGCAAAGAATCACTAAGAAGACGAAAAAACCAGAACCACTAGGCTATTTACTATAATTATTGTTAGGTCGAGCAGCTGGAATGAGGATAACGCATTTGGCTTACAATTCTGATGATAGCTTTAACTGTGAATTCCACGCTAATGTTTTACTAATGCTATTACATGCCTTTTATACGTTTCCTAGGTGTCACGCTTGAATAGAGGAAATCATAAACGAATGCAAAGTTTGCTTGAAAAAGTTCGTTCTATAATTACCTTTATCAAATCAATCTTCCTATAATTTCGCAAACATTTAGAGATATCCCATGCTACTTTTTTTCCATTGTGGATTCAAAATTTTTTTTAAAGTTGCAATATTACACGATCCACACCAATCGAATGCCTGCTTCTTTATTAGATATGGCGCATTTACATATATATATATATATAGGTGTTAATAGGCGCATAAGTAATTCGATTAATAATTAGATAGACTGGTGGTTCCACAGCCGATAATGTTCCTAACCACTTTCAGACGGCTTAGTTGGTACATGAATCACATTTAGTTTGATGATTTTTTCAAAGACTTGTTAAAAAGTACATAAGTTGTAATGTACCATAAATTGAGCCACGACCATCTCGCTAAGAATCTGCCTATTAATCATTCCGAATTGGGCTCGCCGAAGCTATCGGTGTTTATTTCAATAACGAAATTATTTACTTCGCTAAATAAATAAATAAAGTGGTTTACATCAACAATATTCAATGATATCCATCAAAACACGTTTCTGAATCGATTTAATATTATCTGTCTGTTTGTCGATCTTGCGTCTATTCTTGATACTTTCATGAAAGTTCTCACGTGCAGGTTGATAATGAAAAAGGGCGGAACCGCTCGAAGGACATGCCTGTTAAACCACGTAAACTGAGAACTCCTTTATATTTCAAAGGGAACAAAACATTGATGTTTTGCTCATTACTCATAAACTACGGTAGATAAATCTATATAAATTTGACCGTACATTCCATGGTCTGTAGTACCTCTAAAAAGTGGAAAACATCGGCCTAGCCGATGTGTCTAATAATTTCATATTTTTTTTAAAGTTTATAACGCACATAACCAAGCCTCACAAACCACATAAAGTATACAAATTCTTGATCAGTTTTAAATTCTGAATGCAGCTAAGCCTGTCCGTCCATCTGCCCATAAGTTCGTCTGCGCAACTGTGTAATATCTGCGATAAACTTTCTCCCATTCGCAAAAATAAACATGTTGCCTGAAAACTTGCAAAAGAATTTTCCAGTGACACAAATTTTTCAAACAACACGCCAATAACGCCCACAAGCTTCCGTAACAAAAATTTGAACACCTTTGTCTGCCGTGTTTTTTGTTAGTTATTCGTGAAGTAACACACATACATCATATAAATTTTTTTTTCATTCGAAAAGTAGAAAAAATCAACCACGCCCATCTAACATTATAGTGTACGAACAGGTAGTTTTTCCCGATGTTTTAGGATCACGTTGATGAGTATAAAAGACTCGATCATGACCATATTTGCTTTTAGTCTTCTTAATATTTATATACGAATTTGATCGTTGTTTCTTTATTACATGTGTGTGTGTTAAGCGCACTTAAAGTAAATTTTAAGTTTGGAGTTTCAATTTTGAAGAAATTTTGCTTTTACCTGTAATTCCTGAGAGAGGCCGTGCAGGTCATGTAGAATCCATTTAATAGCTTTGAACATTTCAAGCTGGATTTCGGTTAAAATTATTTTCATGTCCAACTGTTTTTCTACTTGCTGAGCTACTGGGCTTAATCGAAATGTCTATAATACGTTATTATGTTATTGTTATTATTATTATTATTATTATTACTATTATTATTATAAATTTAGCCAGAGAATAAATTCTAAGACTTAAGTCTTAATTCACTAGCATCTAAGGCTTTCGGCTTTTATTTAAAACTCTACCGCACTTGAGATTTGAACCCACGACCATTGACTTGCTAGTCGAGACTCTTGCCTACTTGGCCACTCAGGAGGATACGCCTGATATTATTATGCTTTAGGCTTCCATATGGTTTGAAACAAAGTGAATAATTGAATTTCTAGTTAAAAGTGCTTGTCAACAGTTCGTATTGTTAGGAAACTTTCAATTCAAATTAAAATATCTAGAAATGTTCTTAAATTGTTATCCTCAATACGTTCACTAGGAACCAAAATTAAATTAATTCATTACATCTAAAGAGAAACTAAAACAAATATACAGAGTTGTGAGCAGACAACGATTTGCTAAGAAAGTATACTTTAAAGTTCTTCGATCTTTAAATCAGTTATGGTAGCCTTAAGTCGTTTTCAGGTATTGCTATGTATGTGTTAAGAAAAATTGTATTAAGTTTTAAGTTCCGCTTTGTTTCATTTCATGCATATATTACGAGATAAGCGAAATAAAGTTGGCGTTACCAGTAAATCTCTCTATCATTATTAAAAATCTTTTTGTTTGATAAAAAAATTTATAACATTTTTTTTCTTTTTTTTTTATATTTATTATATATAACGCTGTAACATTTTGGTTACATGCAAACAATATCGTTTGTTCTTATTATCTGTAATGGAAAAACATAAAAAATTCGAAGAACTTGTCCAATCGCTTCCCGAAGCAATCCGCTTCCTTGAACTCCTTGAACCATTTTAAAAAGTCGTTGTGATCGCGTTTCTCCTTTTCACTCATATCTTCAGCATATTTTTCGACAGCGTCATCGAAACCATCAAAGAATTCAACGAAATCCTTATGGATCTCCTCAGCCAACTCCTTGCCGCCATCTTTTTCAAATAAGTCATGGACCAGATGAGGATTCGACGATTCGTTGCTTGGCTCCTGAGCACCGGACATTTCATCCTTAAGGTCTAAGATGTTTTGCAAAATTTCCTCATCACTATCGGCTTTAATATGTTTGATGCCCTTAATAAGATTTTCCAAATGTTGTATTTGATGCGCATATTTAGGCGCTTCTTCGTGAGCTTTCAAATCCTCTACAACTTTTTCTAATACGTCGCTATATCGCCCGCTCAAGGGAATTGCAATTTCAATAAGGGTTTTAATAACAGACTTGTATAATTTGTGGTCTGTATTAAACTCATGGTGAGCGGCAGGCGATTCAGCATCTGCCGTAGGTATAGCAAAGCATGACTAAAGGGAAGAAAAAACCCGTATTATTAGTCTATGTATTATAATTATTACTATTCTCATTTAGTTCGTACCTGGAGCACGAGGAGCATTCCAAGCAAGGTTAACGTTAGATAATTCATTTTGCTTACAATTCTGATGATAATTTTAACGGCAAATGTCACACTAATGCTTTACTATCAGTATTGTATGCCTTTTATACCTTGGCTAGGTGTTACCTTATCAATGCAAATTGTGTTAAAAGGTTAAGAGAGATTATTCAAATCATTTCATCATTCAATATGTTAATGATTTAATTGAAATCGTTATTGTATGCTGGCTGTGGTGCTGGCCATATGGTCTGAAACAGATAATAATTGATCAGTGGTTCTCAATTTTTAGCTATTAACTTACATTAATAATTGAAATAAAAATAAATTTTTATTTACAGAAGAAGAAGAAGACTCAAAATTAACATCAGAGAAGAGAAATATTTGTGGCGGAGTCACATAAAACATTCGTCTTTTCTTTTGAATAAATTGATTATAAACTGAAGCAAATGATCCATGCAGAAGAAGCTACAACACCTATCTAGCATGGTGTATTTGTTGTTATCAGTTGGACCTGTTCACAGATGCTTTCGCCAACTGATTGTGATACATTTTTGCAAATCAGAAAATAAATTTTCCATCTCCCCGATTCTATATATATCTTACTTGTTACTCATTCATCGAAAAGCTTACCCACAGTGGACGTCCGATCGAGCTGCCACTAAGCGAATATATTTTCCCGATGACGTACTACGCTTGATTTTTTGCTGTTGTGTTTAATTACATGTTTAATGATTAGAGAAGAGAGAAGAGAGAAAGAAAACAAGAAAATAATTGAAAAGAAAAATTCAATTTACACAAAGAAATTTCCAATTTGTTTGTATGTCTGTTTACATTTTACAAAGAAATGGATGGAAAAAATTCTTAGTAAATATATTGATTAAATAATTAATTGCTCTCGAATTTTCGGAAAATTACATTAATCGACCTACAATTTATTAATTGTTTTCATCGCATAAACAAATTGGAATTTGTTTTCACTCAATAATTCCCTTGAATATTAATAATCAATTACTTAATAATTGCTGATTATACTTTTTTTTTTTTTTTTTAATTTTTAATATTTAACATTAATTCATCAACATGTAGATTATTTGCAATGCTTTTCGTTCTTCTTAAGATGTTACAATTCTTCTTCTTTAAGCGTCGTACACAGCAAAAGCAAATGTTCTTATCGAAGCAGGAAAAAATTAGCTCTTACACCCATACGCACAAGGGGCGTATTATGAATTTTCACAATATTTCGTAGCCCATAGAGATGCTAATCGATGTCTGATTGAGCGTTTGCCTATGTTTGACTAGTGGACGGCAATTTTGTCGGATAAATCTATTTCTGAAATGAAAACTCACGCGTAAAGCTTTCCCTGAGAAAAATCTTTTTAAAATTATTTTATTATTTTTAACATCTCAACTTTTCTATAACTTCGAAAGTAGTCGAAAAAATCTCATTATTTTGGTATCTTTCTTCAAGTATGGTTTTAACTTTTCTTTCAGACCTGACTCTCTTTTCAGACTAGAATGGATGGGAGTTGTTTAGTATAGGAAACTGTAAATACTACTATTGAAATACAATGTATATCCATTTTCAGATAGAGTTAAGCAAGTAAAACCGCTAAACATAGTATTTGGTCACTAATTCCACATACCGAAAGTTGATGAATAAAACGACCCCTGATAGCAGGTATGACGCCGCCAGCCGTAATGATTTTTTTTTTCTCTTCATTTGCCTCGCATCCTAGCACGCAAAGTATAAAGTCAATCACAACATCAGATGGCGATCTGCATTTCTGTGCAAAGCGTAGGAAAATATATTCCACGAATAGTTTTATTTCTTCAACTTTACAAAGATTTTTAGGATGAATCTTAGAACGTAAGTGAAAGAGTCATTGAATCTTTACCATCTAACGCACCGTTTCTTAACATAAACTGCTGACAATACGTAAAGCTGGAAAAAAGAAACTGCATTGTGATATGTATGTGTGGGAAGTTTTCACCACATCCTGAGTGAATCCATCGAGATATTCTCGAAAATTATTCTCAACTCCTTCGAGAAGATCTTCGCTTTCATGTTTGCCTAATAGTGCAGGGAAAAGATTTTCTTTGCCTTCAGGATAATTATGTCCCTGAGCAGCTGCTACCAAGAGTTCAATCGATCTGAACAAATATTTCAAAACCTTCCCTTACTCACATTTTTTGTAATGATCGTCCGCTTCAAAGTAATCTCTCTTCAAGCAATCCTTTACATCGATCGTCGGTCTTGTGTTCCTTTAAATTCTACAATATCTGTTCAGATATTTTTTTTTGATTATTTATATATAATTTATAATGCCAATCAATCAAAATTTAGTTGTAAGTCTACATCTATACACTCAATACCATTATGGAAAGGAAAAACAACCTAAGACGATGTGGAATATACCGTAGAATTGAACGTTGGTCAAATGATGTAGAATTACGTTAATTGAATTTAGTGGTGAAGCGAGTGAGTTGTTGAAGAAGTGTTTTGTTCTTTGTCAATTGCACATTCGTGCGCATAATTGTGTGCCTAAGTCACATCGGTTGCGAATGTTTGCCTTTATTCATTTCTGTATGAATTTTTTTCGTTATGGAAATAAATAAAGATATTGATCTAATATGAAACAGACTTTTTTAATTGACACTCTTAACTAGAAATTAAATTATTTGCTAACTACTAGTAAGACAATTGTGATTAAAATTTTGTCTGTGATAAACGCGACCTGAAATGATTTTGGCAAATACGTTAAGGAAAATATATCAAAAGAACGTTTACTTGAAGAAATGAATTTTTATAGTAAATGAAGATAAATGTGAAGGAATTTGAATCAAAAATTTTTTATACGAAATGGTAATTAAAAGTAACAGTTTCTAAAAATCCCAGCGTTTTCTCATCTTAGTGATTCTATATTACTTTGATGCGGACGCAATCCATTTACTCCATTACTTTAAATATAAATAGCGTAACTTCAAGGTAAGAGTGTGAGTCTTCACATTAAATCAATCCAAATGGTCACTTACTAAGAAAGCACAGTTTCAAGTGAATGTGTGCACTTCTGTTTGCCTAAAATTAAATTCTTTCATTTTCATCATCCAAACTGTAAAGTTTTTCAGATTCTTTATGCATACAAGCCAATATTTCAAGAGTATTTTTGTAAAGAGTTAAATTAAATTGTATTTTAATTGATTTGGTTTGAGAGTTTCAATAAAAGATTGGCAAGCGAATGAACGCCAATGACTAATAGAGAAGAATATATATCGTGAGACAGACAAAGTTCGTATTACTAGTACAACTTTGTTTTTGTTTAATAAAAAGTTTAAATTTATTTTAATCGCTTCTGTTATATATAACGTGTTATATGTAAAGTACATTTTTTCACTTCCTTTTTTCTTTAAATAGTTCGGGATTGAAAAATGTAAAAAACCTTAAAAACTTTTCGAATTGGTTGGCAAAACCATCCGCTTCTTTGAATTCTTTGAACCATTTCAAAAAATCTTCATGATCGGCTTTCTCTCCTTCACTCAAGTCTTTAGCATATTCCTCGAAAGAATCATCGAAATCAGCAAAAAATTCAACCACACTCTTATGAAACTTCTCTATATGTTCTTTGCCGCCATCTTTTTCAAACAAATCATGAACAAGATGAGGATTTGGCGATTTTTTGCTTGCTTCCTGAGCACCGGCCACGTCGCTCTCAAGTTTTAAAATATTACGTAAAGTTTCGTCGTCGCTATCACCTTTCAAATGTTTAGCACCTTTAACAAGCTCTTCCAAATGTTCTATTTGAGTTTCATAATTAGCCGCTTCTTCATGAGCTTTCAAATCCTCTAAAACTTTTTCTAACACATTACCATATTGTTCACCCAAGGGTATGGCGGTTTTAACAAACGCCTCGAGAGTAGCTTTATACAATTTGTTATCTGTATTGAATTCATGATGAGAGGCAGGTGATTCAGCGTCTGGTTTAGGAATAGCAAAGCAAGGCTAAGGAAAAGAAAAAACCAGGACCATAAGTCTCTTTTTGTCGACATTATTATTATTCTTAATTAGTTCGTACCTGTAGCACCAGGAGTTGTGCAAGAAAAGTTAATGTCACGTAAATCATTCTGCATACAATTCCGAGTGTAGCTTTAACTGCAAATTCCACACTAATACTTTACTAATGCTGTTACATGCCTTTTATACCTTATCTGGGTGTCAGCTTATCAATGCAAATTGTGTTAAAAGAACAAAAAAATCATTCAGCCGAAATCATTCAATTTTTAATAATTTAATTGATATCATTATTACATATATATTATTTATATTTAGTGCTAGCCATGTGGTCTGAAATAAACATTTGTTGATAAATGGTTTTCTACTTTTAGTTGTAAACTTAGATTAAAAGCAAAATAAATATAATGTTTTACTTATAGAAAGCTAAGCAATAACAGCAAAGTTTTTTGTTTTGAATAAAATTGAACGTGAAAAGGGTTACGTTATCTATCTGGTATGCTGTATTTGCTGGTTACATCTCAATCAATATAAAACTCCAATTCCGGGAATCGATTGTTGTAAAAACAATTTCAAACTTTCAGTCGTTTAAGGGTAATCAGCAGCTTTAATTTTTAAGTTATGACAAGAACAAGGGTCTTCAAGATACGTCCGCCTGATCAGATGGGCTAGCATTCATAAATTGCATTTGCAAAAGGAAAGCAACATTTCAGAAACTGTAGCGTATCTTCCTAGTAGTGAGTTTTTGCCATTGCGTACGCAGCAAGTGAAGCAATAAGTGGACAACCACACAGTGGAAAAGATCATGATTTTATTTATCATCTTGCAGTACTACCTACATTTTCTCTCTTTCTAGCCAAGCCATATTCACTCATTCCAATTCGTATACTTGAGATTATAGATACGTAATATTCCCCAGGTGACGCAGTGTGCTTAGCTTTGTGCAGTTGTTATACGGTACATCACCTATGTTACAAGATTTTGTAATGTACACAACATCCAGAAGCACTTGAGATAGACGCAACTTTTATTATGCCAAACCCTCAGACTTAACTCTGTCCGTCGTGTTTTTTTTGTTTTCAATCGACAAACCACAATTTTTGAGATATTTTATGTGACCCAAGGAACGTAAGAAAATAATTTGGATCGAATCAATTTTTCAACCACTTCTCATGTTAAGTGTTGTTTACAAAAGTTCTTTTATTCTATAACTGTAGTACGATGTAAGCTATTTTATGGCCAACCATAAGCCCACTACAGTGTTTTTGCTTGTTTTAAATTATTTATTTCTATGATTAGCGTTTAATTATTCAAATGAAAAATTCAATTTACATAGAAAAATTAATTCAAAAGAAAAATTCAATTCACATAAGGAAATTAACAATGTATGTGTATGTTTACTTTTTACAGAGAAATGGAAGGTAAAAATTTTTAGTAAATATATTTATTAAAGAGTTAGTTGCTCTCATAATTTTCGGAAAATTACATTAATCTAACTAAAATTTGTTTACTTTTCTTAGCAGGTAAACAAGTTTGTATTTGTTTTCAATCAATAATTCCTTTGAATGTTAATAGTTTGTCACTTAATAATCATTGATTATATTTAGCTTCTTTTTTTTAATTTTTTACCTTTAGAATATTTTTAACGATTTATTTTTTATTCTTGTATTGTTACAATTGTTTTCCTTTAAGCATTATACGCAGGAAATGTTCATATCGAAGCAGAAAGAAATGAAGTCTTATTGTCACCGCTTTTCGCAAACCTTCCTAGCGCATAAAAGTACTAATGGATCCCTGCTCGAGTATGCGTGTATGCTCGGACAGCGGAGATCAATTTCTAAAATGAAATATCGGGATTAAAACTTTGCTCGAAAGAAGTCTTTCTAAAATTTTTAAAGCTATAAGTTGTAAATTTGTCGTAGTGGACCATCGATGGAATTCTAACAATCTAGCTTGGAATCTGCTTATTATTAATTATTCCTAATTGAGCTCGGTGAAGGTAATAGTGTTTATTTCAAGAATTAAACGTGTTACTTCACTAATTTAATAAATAAAAAAAGCTTTTTAGCCGACTTTTGCAAATAAAAGTGATTTACATCAAACATCTATCCAATATATCAAAAACAAGTCTGTGTGTCCGCTTGTGTCTGTGTGGCGTTTCCCGAGCGCCCTTTCCAGATATTGTCATGAAATTTGGGACTTTTGTCCCAAAAACGAACTTTTTCGAGCATTCCCTGTGCAATGGAAGTTATGCAGAAAATTTAAATGGAATAACCTCGTTTTTGAACGGTTTTAGAGAAACAACATTTTTTAAAATGAAATGAAATGCCTATGGCTCTCGAAAGTCGATCCTTTTTTCAACTTCACTTCCCTTGCGGTACAGCTGCATTTTGAATTTCCATATATCGATATGCATTTTTTTTTTTTTAATTCTTAAATCAGAATCGGAAAATTTTAATCGATAGCAAAAAACTAACGAAGGTTTACAGAAACTCTTATTATAAAGGTGCAAATACAATTGTAAGGCGACTGGACGAAAATCGAAGGATGGAAGCAAATCGCAAACTCAAAATACAAGGTTTCGCGATTGCTGCACCATATACAATCCGTTTAATAGATTCGAACGCTTCCGGCAGAAATGTGTGTTTAAAATTCTATCCACCTTGAATTGGTTTAGTACTTGAGCCAACGCGGCTGGCGCACTTAAAACGTCTGCACTAAGTTTTAACGACTAGGCTCGGACAATCGACTTTTTGAATCCTTTAAAATTTTTTTCCTCTTGCAATTTATATATTTTAATAAATTATATCAATTTCCGATAGCTTGGTTTTGAACAAAACAAAAAAAACATGGAAAAAAATTCATTGTGTTATTACACTTCAGGTAATTGTATGACCTGGAATTCAAAACAACTACTTAACAATTTCCTATCTTTTGGTAAATGCAAAGACTTCAATTATAAACTGTAGATAAAGGGACTGCAAATATCACCTTAGTAGAGGCACTCTAAGCCACGTAAAAAGTCAAACTATCAATAATCGATAGATACCAGCTTTTCATTTGCTTAACATATTTAGATACAAAAATTTTATTTCCGAAGCCAATGCTTTAAATAGTGCGTCAGACAACAATAGTTACAATGTATCCTTAATTTAGTCCTCTTCAGCGAACAGTTGAGGATTAAAAAACATGAAAAATTGTTTAAACATTTCAAATTTGTCTCCACAGTCCTCTTCTTCCCTGAAGCCTTTGAACCATTCCAAAACATTTGTGTGATCGACGTTTTCTGCTTCACTTAAACTCTTCGCACATGCAATAAAATTCTTAACGAAATCATCAAAATATTCAAGAAAGCTCTGGCAAAATTATTCAACGAAATCGTCACTGCCGTGTTTTGAAAACACATCTTCAACGGTACTGCCGTGTCCCGAAATGCTTCTTTCAAATTTTAAGAAGCCTTTAAAAGCTTCTGCAGGGCTGGAGTCTTTAAAGTGTTCGAAGTGTGTAGAAACTAGATCCCGTTGCTTTTTAACATCCTCGTATTTGGCAGTGTTTTTATTCGTTTTCAAATCCTCGACGGCTTCTTCTAATAAATCGATATATCGTTTACAGAACGGTATCAAACGTTCGACAAAGTCTTTCAGAGCAATCTTATAAAGTTTATTCTCTTTATTAAACTCATGATCACAGTTATGTAATTCCGTGTTTGGAGTGGGACTAGTAAAGCACGACTAGAACAAGGAAAAGCAAAACATTGGAAGTAGAAAAAATAAATATTTTATTTGTTTTATTTTATTTTTTCTATTTAATTATTACTTGGGCTAAGATGAAAAGCATCCCAACAAAAGACAATTTATAAATTTTCATTTTACTATGTTAGTAATCCCGTTTATTGTGTTCTGTATATGAAACTGTTTCCTCACTAATATTCTCATTTATTTTTATACCGCTTTTTACGCTTAGCTTATCAATGAATATTGGGTTAAGAGATTAAAATGCTTTCGTTAAAAATCTTTTCAATAATTATTGACTCATTTGCATGTCCATTCTATTTAGACTGCAGTAAATACTAAGTGTTAGTAATAGTTTACACTGCTGTGAATTTGAGATCGCCAAAACAATCAGCACAAGCAAATGGGAAAAGGGGCTACGTATGGCACGACTACCAGGATTTATACTTGAACCATTTCTCTAGAAAATATTATTCGCTTCGCTATTAAGGTCCATAATGGAGTATGTTGCTGTAGCAAAGGAATTACAACAAATGCACGAAAACGTCGCAGGCGTTATAAATGACCTGAAGTCATGGCCCACTAGTGAAAAATTTTTTGTAGCCCAGCAGAAGACCGAAGCCATTTTAAAAAGCAGCAGAAAGAGAAGAAAAGCTGTCACACGGATGGCTACGAAATAAGTAGTACTCCGACGATAAAGCACCCTGGGCGCGTATCTGGACTTTCCCCTCTCTCCCTCTCTCTCTCATTCGCTATAACAACTATCCTGCGTTGTCCACTAGGAGGCCCACATTCTCGCCGTCTGATTTGAGAACAATTCCTGGCCTGCTTGATTTTGCCGTGTACTTTAATGTTTCCGATAAATTACATCATATTTATTACAATGATGATCTTAGTTATATCGGTTAAATATAATGTCATCAATGGCAAAATTGATATAGAAACTTTTGAGAGACTTTGAGTTTAAAAAGCCCTTCCGAAATTTGAAGGTACGTTGCAATTCGTCTTCACCAAGCTGGTTTTATAGCTACTCTCAGAAAATTTAATGGGTCTCTATACTCCAATAGTAATGTTAGCTTTGAAATATGGCAAACGATCAGAAACGGAAGGATATTAAGAAGACAATTGCAGCAAAAAACAGCATCCCCTGGATAGAGAAAGACTTTTAATTATAGCTACAAAGGATCCACGTGTTCTTCTAGCTGATATTAAAAATTAACAAATGAATGATTTTTATAAGGCATTACTATTACTTATAAGAAACTGCCAAATTTTATAATTGTTCATTTGATAGATGTGAAAAAGGAATTCGCTGAAGTCGTACATTATTGGCTAGTTCTACGTCGCATTTGAACGTCAGGACAATCTAATATTTCCCGTAATTGCAAACTAAACGATTGTGACCGTCAACTAGCATCCTTATCCCGTACTGCTTAGCATTAGCAAAAGTGGCTTTGATTAAGATTGTAAGTCGCTTGGTCTGTCATACAAAATTATCTTCTTTATGTTATTTTTATCTTTTCTTTTAAAATTAGAAAATCATAATAACTATATGTTTTACAAAAATTCATGACAATATTAACAAAGCAATCTAAAAACATGTAATTTTATTATTGAAATATATAATGGTTCCCTACTATATTCGCTTACATGTATTGTATATGCATTTGTATTCGCTAGCAATGTTCAATAGCTATTACAACCACTTGAAATCTTCGTTTCTGATAACGTTGTCTAGACTTCGACATCAAGCCATTTGTTACACTTGTGATTTTTTATTTTTTTTTTTTGATGTGACCAATCACTCAGGGAACCCTAATTTTTGTGTGACATGGTGACGGTCCGAAAGAAGCGACGATATAGAAGAAATAGACCTCACCCTCTAGTGGTTGCGTGCCAAGTCCGTGAGTGTTGTGTCATTACCGACTGAGTACTCACTACAGCCACGGGCAAAGTACAGTCGATCACACTTGAGATTTAAATCCGCGAACGTTGACTTAGAAGCCGCGATTCTTACCTAACGGCCTACTCACGCGAACGTATATCTTCGCTGCTCGCTCTTTTTGCCTAAATATATGTTAGCACGCATCATGAAGCTGCATTTGAATATGGCTTTAGGTCCTTTTAATAAACACTGCTTGTAGATATGTCTGCGATATTTTCCTTGTCATTATCAATTAATTTGGTACTCAAGCGCTTTCGGCTTTTTCTAACTTGTTTCTTTGTGTATGTTTACGTTGTTAAAATTTATCAAGTTTTCTTTATCAATTTTTAGTATCACATTCTTTCATCGTCGGATATTCATTTGTGACATTTTCTTGCATAACACGTTCACATGCGATGTTACGTTTGTTTTTCTTAGTCTTTACTTTAAAGCGGTTGATCTCAGCAAGCGAAAACTTTGGATTATTAGAAATATATCAAAACTAAACGTTCCAGTTAAAAATATTTGTTTATCGAATAAAAGAAGAAATTAAAAAAAGAAAGGCTTAAATCTTTAGGATGTTATTGTTTTTATTATTGATTAATTTGAAGCTTTATTTTCTTTCTCAGATATCCAAGATAAAGTTTAGTAGAATTTTCGGGAATCACTCTCTTGAAAATAAATTCGGGTTATATAATTTGAAAAAGCTTACGAATGCTACAAATTGTTTAACAAATTTCCCAGGTGGATCTTTTTGTACAAATGACTTATGCCATTTCAGAAGATCGTCATTGACTTCTTTTCCATTATCACTGAAGTTTTCACCATATTCTGCATCGAATCCATCGAAATATTCTTGGAAACTTTTTTCAAATCCTTCCAATAGTTCTTCATCTTCATGTTTGTCGAGTAGTGTATAGAAAAGATTTTTTTTGGCTTCGGGCTCCTTATACTCGTGAGTAGCTGCTAACAAGTGCTCCACCAATCTCAGTAAATATTTCAAAACTTCTTCTTGATCAGAGTTTCCCAGATGATCGGCCGCTTCAATGTACTCTTCTAAGCGATCTTTTACTTCGTCGTATTCATCGTCGGACTTGTGTTCTTTGATATCCTCCAACATCTGTTTCGATATTTTTCCAAAATTTTCACAGTAGGGCAAGGCGCGTTTTACAAAATCGTTTGCAACTGCTTTATACAATTCGCTGTTTGTATTGAGTTCATGCTGTGAATCTGTAGCCTCTGCTTCTGGTACAGGACTGGCGAAAGAATGCTAAAAAGTACAAAAATAATAATAAGAAAAAAATATGAACCATCACTAATACGATAAAATGGAAGAACAAATATTGTTTACTAATAAAATTCACCTGGATAATCAGCAGTAATCCTAAAACGACAATCGTGGATTTTCTCATTGCGAATGCTGTGATGTTCAGTTTGCTTTTGTACAATCATTGAATTTTTATTAGAGCTGAGTTACTTTTATAGTTTGAAAAATAAAATCAATTATCATCTAAAGTAATCTTATCTCATTTAGCTGACGCTTAATAACCTCCACGGTTAAGGTTTGCACAATTAGTTTACAGTGCAAGCTTTGATAGAGTTTGCGAAGTCTATTAATTTCTTAGAACTTAAGGAATTTTAAAATAATTGTGCCTCTTTGGGGTAAATTTAAGAATACTTAAATAATGTTAACTAAATAGTTATCTCACATGTCACTCCCTGCTATTAGAAATAGCGCCATTGAAAGTATAGGAATGAGATTTCAAACAACTACACAATAACCGCTACAGTATATATCGTATTATTTTCCAGGAGAGTTGGTCCGTAGGGATGCCAATAGCAGGCCGACTTTTGCGTGTGATATTTATAGATTCACAAGGTAACAGAATCATATCATCGGCGACAATTTCAACTGCAGATATCAGGCATAGGGTTTTATCTGGGCTTATGCATGGGAAAATGTTTTAATTGAGAGGTTGAAGGCAGACAATGTGACTATTGTGTCCCCGAGGGGACACACAAACTCAAACGGACAACTGTTTTCAGTAGACTTGTTCATGACGAACATACTTCAATCAATGCCAGTTAGAATTATTATTTACGCTAATACCAATACACCTCAGTCTTTCAAATATAATTTTGAAAATCCTGACTGGGTATCTCCCTCCTTCCAACTATGCAAAAACCTATTCAACAATTCTAGCTCTCAATAGCATTTCGAAGAATGAGTCAATAGAATTAAAAATTAGGCGAATGACTTAAGTCTACTTAACAGTTATCCACATTTCAAAAGAAAACATTTACCCAACAATATCAAATATATAGTACACTCCCGAGAAATGAAAAAGTTGGCATGTATTATATAAGGTGAACTTAACAATTTCAAGAGCAAAACATGAAACCTGTAAGATTTTCACTGCGGGTTTTGTTTCTAATCATGCCATTCCAGTTAACATCAGTGACTCTGGGATAACGAATTATGTGAGTACGGTGATCAGCAATTTCCTGGCTTCCAATTCCAATTCTATTGAGGACTACTAACAAATCTCCCGTAATCGCAAATTTAAAAACAAGAAGGCAACCGATGCCAACAGTATTAGTAACGTTCGCCGAAAGCCTCCACCAGAAAAAGGAGGAAGATAGTCAAATGGTTTTATAATTTCCTGTTTTACATCTAGATATTTCCCGGGAGAATTTAAGGAGGCAAAAGTAATTTCCATCAAAAAGCCCGACAAGTCTTCTGATTCGCTGTCCTCCTATCGCCCTCCTTGTTCTCCAACAATTTGGTTTCAGTAAGGGACACAATACTTCTCATATTCTTAGTAGAATAAGAAACATAGTTCATTGAAGTTTTCATGAGCGGATATCGACAGGGATGATTCTATTACATATAAAGGCGACCTTTGATACTGTACGTCGTGATGGTCTCACCTACATATTGATTATTTATAATTTTCGATTCGATTAGATAAACACCATAACATGCTTTTTCATATTAGAAGCTTTTAAAATGTGTTTAGGATAGCTAAGTACGTTGTCCAAAGGCTTCTTTTCCCTCCTCAGTGTTACGTAATGTAATTCTTCAGAAAAGAAATCAATATTTGATAATGATACAGCGTTACTTTCTACCAAAGTTTCATCATCAAATATAATAACTAACTCATAAGAATTTTTAAACAATACATATATTAATATATTTTAGAAAACGGAAAATAAGAATAAATTGCGAGAAGACGCAGGAATTTTATTTTACAAGGAAGAGAAAACTATGTTTTATTCCCTAGAGTATCATAAACGTTAATAATCACTCAATTTGGTGGGAAAAGAAAGCTTAACATTTGGATGCTTTGTCCGTCCCCATATTTGGCTATTACTTCGAACACCATGCTCAACCTAGAGAATAATTTTGAAATTTGTCTTCATTCCTACTATATTTTATGCCGTTATGGTCAAACAGCGCCCAGCTTCTACCAATCGTTTACATTCTCTTACAGAGTTAGTTTTCATCAGATTGCAAAGACATACTCAGGACTTTAATTGGTTAAACTCTGAATTCTCTGACATATCTTGAATTAGGCTCCTATCAGGGCTTTGGTTATTTGAAATGTTTTTCTTTTCTTCCTTTAGGGTTTTTGCAAAATTTTGTCTCCATTCCAAATTTTATTGTACCACCTGTAACAACGTTTATTACGAATATTTAAGCAGTAAAAGAAAGAATTCTTAAATGTTTCATTTCGTATACGTATACTTTACTTAAATATTGTCTTATATTATTATATATATATTTTTACTGTTTTGCTTACACATATGAGAGTAAATAAATTGAATTAAGTTGAATTCAATTGAATTCAGATGGATTCGTTTAAATGAACGCCGGTAGTAAATTGAAATTACATTGAATTAACGCATTATCAGATTTCATTAATTAAAATCAAATGAAACAATGATAGTAAATGAAACGTAACAATAGTACAAGCGAGGTTGAAATGAACAAACGTTTTCTCCAGATGTAATGTATGATGTATATATATCTTTAAGGCAAATAGGGAATGAAAACTCAATAAAAACTTTCAACCCAAGTTTCCTGCTTTATGCAGAGGAAAAAAAGAACAGAACATCATAATAGAACATATAAGGCACCTTAGACACGTAATGATACACCCTAAATTAGGTTAGGAAATTAAGGAAAGAAGAACATCCTATGATGTGTAATGTATTCGATAATTGAGGACTCGAACTGAGAGTTAGTCAAATGCAGTCGAATTATGAAAGTTGATTCCGATAATTGAATTTAAATGTGAATCGAGTGTGCTAAAGAAGACGATGATCTTACATTAAATTTCGGGGAGTTTTGAGCCAAAATGAAATCGAGAATTAACGAACAAGCAAATTTTTTACAGGGATGCTTAATAAGAAGTTAAATTTCTTGCTTTTCAATAACTTACATCAGTTGTTATGACAGATAAACTTAGAAATACATTTATATACGAAAAGCGGAGCAAAATGTGGAGGTCCTGGCCATTGTGAATTACAAACTGCCTAAACATAAAACACACATTGCACACAATAGATTGACATGCGAACGTACGATTTGATCGAACGAATGATTTAATTGATTAACAAGGAAACTTTTTGTTTAATAAAAAAATTATAAAAAATTTGCAGTTTTTTTATTTTACTCACATCTAACGTTGTATTTAAAAAATATATATATTTACTTCCTTATTTCTAAAATATTTTCAGAATTGAAAAACTTAAAGAACCCTACAAACTTTTCGAATTGTTTATCAAAACCATCCGCTTCTTTGAATTCCTTGAACCATTTCAAAAAATCTTCATGATCGGCTTTCTCCTCTTCACTCAAGTCTTTAGCATATTCCTCGAAAGCATCATCGAAACCATCAAAGAATTCAACGAAATCCTTACGGAACACTTCAAGGAAGTCTTTTCCGCCATCTTTCTCAAACAAATCGTGGACCAGATGAGGTTTGGACGACTTTTTGCTTTTCTCCTGAGCACCAGCCACGTCACTCTCCAGTTTTAAAATGTTATGCAAAGTTTCGTCATCGCTGTCACCTTTCAAATGTTTAGCACCTTTAACAAGTTCTTCCAAATGTTCTATTTGAGTTTCATAATTAGCCGCTTCTTCGTGCGCTTTCAAATCCTCTAAAACTTTTTCTAACACATCGCCATATTGTTCACCTAACGGTATGGCCATTTTAACGAACGCCTCGAGAGTAGCTTTATACAATTTGTTATCTGTATTAAATTCATGATGCGAAACGGGCGAATCAGCGTCTGGTTTAGGAATAGCAAAGCATAACTGAATGGAAGAAAAAATTTGGATTAAAAGTCCTCTTATTATCATTGTTATTATTCGCATTTAATACGTACCTGGAGCACCAGGAGCACTCCAACAAAAGTTAATGTTACATAACTCATTTTGTTTACGATTCTGATGATAGTTTTAACAGCAAATTTCAGACTAATGCTTTACTAACGGTATTGCATGCCTTTTATACCTTTTCTAGGTGTCAGCTTATCAATGAAAATTGTATTAAAAGGTTAAGAATGATTATTAAAATCATTCAAAGCTTAATGATTTAATTGAAATCTATATAATATATATATTATTTATATTTAGTGCTCGCTATGTGGTCTGAAATAAACAATTATTGATTAATGGTTTTCTACTTTTAGTTACAAACTTAGATTAAAATCAAAATGAATATAATGTTTTGCTTATAGGCGACTAAGCGTTAACGTCAGAGGAGAGAAACGTTTATGGCGGTGTAACACGATAAAATAGATTTCTTCTTTCTTTTAAATAATTCGGTTATGAATTGAATAGAAAATGCTTGCATGCTGCCCTTATTGGTTTCATTTAGATCTTTTTGCAGACGCGACTAAACAGTGCAAGGATAGAATGCTCCTCTTCAAAATTCTTCTTGGCTTGCTTTTAAAGAACTGAAATAAAGTTTCTTGATTACTCGTAATGGGTATACATATGTGTTACCTAAATCAGCTAAAAGTCATGCTTGGGACAGGCGATCGACCTTTCTCTAAGCTCTCCTTTGCTTGGATGCCTTTATTTCATCTTATATTCCACATTCTCGAGGCAAGATTATCGATGTAAAAACTACTGTATTCTTATTCGCATCACGGGGTATAAGTGCTGTTAGAAGATTGGCTTTGTGAAGCCTATCTGATTATGGAAACAAACATACTGCGATGTGTTGCAGTGAACGTGGCATTGCTTCATCTCGTATTCCCCTGGGCTAGCCTCGTATTCCTCTGGTCTACTGGTTTCGCATCTCACAGGCATCTACAAAAATGGGAAAGCAAGTGTCGATCAGTTCCGTGTGTTTCTTGAGACTACATGCCCCATTGCTATGACTTTCCTTGGATCCGCGCTTCCTCTGGAAAACTGCTTACATTTAGCGATGCTGCCTTGAAGTATCCCGTTGCAAACTGAGCATTACAGGGAATAACAGCTTGCTTGTAAGTCACGAGAGTTTTTAGGCTCCAGTGACGTCCGGTACTGCGACGATTCGTACCAGTTTAATTTCTGCCATCTCTTTGTAAAGTAGTGTATGGAGAAATGCCCGGACAGAAGCGTTGCTTATGGTACTTTTATGGGCCGTCGCAATTTCAGCCAGCGAATGTTAGAAGCGTTAGAGGTCGAGTATATGCTCCGCAATATTGCTTAGGACCCATAAGACCTACAGCAATCAAATCTATCTCCTTTCATCTTCCTTATCAAATACTGTGCATTTATGTTTGCCTAAATATTCTTTTTGAATTTCTTGCCGTTTATTTATGGCCGCACAGCCACTAATGCTCGTAGCAAATTGCAGACAGCTCCAACGCTTACTTTGTGTATAGTGACTAAATGGCAAATACGTATTTCAATCTGTTCGGCGATCTTTTCAGAGACTTTTCAAAAAGTTCGTCTGACACTTTGCAATAGAAATGAAATAAAGCACCACGACGTTAGGAAAGGAGTTTGCTAAAGGCCAAAAGTGCGAGTTGAAAGAAACATCTCAGAAGGAATGTCGCCAACTCTGTAACCATTGAAAAGATTGAAACTTCATCTCAGTTCAGTAAAGCGATTTCTTATAATGTGACAGCAAAACTGATATTTTTCACTTATTCATAAATTCGGGCAGGGTACTCAAAACGAGGTAGGACACTTTCAAAGGTAAAGCAGATGTTAGTGTGCATATTGCATTTCATAATTTCGAGTTGATTATCCCTTTTATAACTATGTTGCAGCTTAGAAAACACACTTGGACGATCCAAATAAATGCCAAAGTTGCACTCTTGCCCTCTTTTCTCTGCAATGGTTGTGTTGAATTCTGCATTTTTACCGTAAATGAAAATTGCTTTTCTAAGATATTTCTTATTACCAGGTTGCAAAGAAATTATTTATAGGAACTTGTTTACAGAAATTAAGTTTTTATAAATTCGTAGCATTTTACTCCATTTCAACAAGCGTCATGCAAATGTCTACTTCAAATCAGAGGTGCTTGCAAATGCTCTACATATACACCTTTATACACCACCGAGAACTAGTCACCAATACTAGGTTTAGTTTTTACTGTTTTGTTAAGCTTTACACCCTTGAATTTTCTGCGAATTTTTGTGAATTTTCTTCAATTGCGCGCTGGATAAAGCGCTTTTATGATTATTTCCCCAACATTTTAATTTCGTTTCACTTACAATTAAGTAATTTTCATCTGGGCTTATTTTATCAAACATGTGACTTTCGTGACAAGATGCTTTCATTTACTGATATATATTAATTAAAATTGCACCAAGTTTTAAGTTTTGTTATGCTCTATTTGACTTGGTTTAACAGTTTTAACAGTAGATTGGCATGGTGATGAACGGAATTGACTTAACTAAAAGGAAAAATTAAGACAAAGTACATATATAATGAGATAGACGAAATTGGTGTTGTTAGTAACACCTTGACCGTAACTATTAAAAATCACTAGGTTTATTAAAAAATTGTTTGAATTTATTTTCTCGTTTAGATCGTTTATAATGTCTTCATTTGTATTTATGTGTGAAGTGCATTTGCTGTTATTAATCTTTTTTAAACGTTGGGATTGAAAAATTTAAAGAAGTCTAAGAACAAGCGGCTTTGCTCCAGGATGTCATATTTTTCCTTGACCTCTTCATACTTTTTGAACCATTCCAAGAAATGTTTATGCTGGGCTTTTTCCTCCTCACTAATATTCTTAGTAAATTCCTCCAAAGCTTTATTGAAACCATCAAAGAATTTAAGCAAATTCTTATAAAAATCCGTAACAGTATCTTTGCCATCTTTATACACTAAAGCGAGGACATGGTCCAAGTTCGAATATTTTTCCATTAACTGTTTAATACCGCTTTCTTCTTCATCGAGGTCCATGATCTTACGCAAAGTTTCGTCATCGCTACCAGCTTTCAAATGTTTAGAGAGGTCAGCAATTTCTTTCAAATGTTCCACTTCATCTGCATTTTGCCGTCCTTTTCCCTCAGCCTCCAAATCCTCGACAACTCTATCTAGTACTTTACCGTATCGTTCACCCCATTGCGTTGCGAAATTAACGAACTTCGCAAGAGTACCTTTATACAATTTATTATTTATATCAAATTTTTGATCGTCGACAGGCCATGGTTTCGATGTAACAAAGTATGACTGCAGGAAAGAAATATTTTAGCTTACAAGTCTACCGTTTATTATTATTATTTTTATTTAAAACGAACCTGTGTCACAAGGACAATTCCAAGGAAAGTTAATGTTAGATAACTCATTTCGCTTATGATCCTGATGATAGCTTTAACTGTGAATTCTACACAATTGTTTTGCCGAAGTTATTTGCTTTGCTTTTATACCATTTCTAACTATTATTACTGAATTATATAAAAGGCATACAATAACGGTATAAAAGGCATGTGATAACATTAGTCAAGCAATTGTGTGAAATACAAAGTTAAAGCTATCATCAGAATGGCAAGTAAAATGACTTATGCTTCACAATCAAAATTCTATTAGAATCAAGATGAATATGAACAGACATTGAAGAAATATCATGCAAGAATATTTTTGATTGAGATGAAGAACAAGATTTTTATATGCTTTACAGAAGCATGAAGACACATTTAATTCCTCGAAATGTTTCCAATATTCAGAAGGAAGCTTCAGGAGCACTACAGAGTGTATATGCACGTTTGCTCAATACCAAATTCTAAATCAACGTAAGCTTATTTGCTCATCCGCATGTACATCTGGGTATTTGCCTACGATAAATATACTTCCGATTGCTAAGATGAAGATACCGTTCTCAAGTTTGATAAAAAGGTGGCAGAATCTTTTATGACCCTTGCTATTCAAAATAGATCAATTTTCTCTGAGAATACGCTCAAAATAGTATATTTAATCTGTGGATCTATCTGTTTTCAAATCAAAAAATGGCGCATTTTTCATAATTTACAATAGATGCAATGATGAGAATTATGCATAAGTACGTATACCTATGCAAGGTCAGCGACGTCTATTCAACGTTGTAGAAACTGGAAATTTCAGTTTCAGTTGTTTTAAGGAAAAGCAGGTGGGTATGGAAGATAGGATCGCAGCCGGACATTATTTTCTGATTTGCTTAAAGTTTTAAAAAGCAAAGGATTTCTAATGAGGAAAAGTATTTAAAGCAGTGCAGGTCGACAAGCTGCCTTAAAAATTTGTTGTTTTCAGTTGGATCTTTTCGTAGACGCAATTCAACAGTTCAAGGTTAGGGTTTTCCCCTCAAAATTCATGTTGTCTCTGTTTTTGTTCCTATCAACTGCTTTTGCAAAGCAGAAAATAAACTTTCCGATTTCTTAACCCTTCGTAACACATATATATCTCCTATTGATTGCTTATTCAGTTAAAGGTTTCGCCAAAAAAAAGCATCCGATCGGCCTATCACTAAGCTTATGTCATTTATATAGATTTACTTACGATTCATTGTAGATGTCATACATCATGCACAACTTTTAGTAGTTCTGCTCAATCACATTTTTAGTGACTAACCTTTAATTACTGAAAAGAAAAACTCAGTTTACAAAGAGAAAATAAATAAATATGAAATTTATTTTAATTAATATTTTTATTTTACAAATTGTTGGTATGTCTAATTTGCTTTTTATAAAGGAATGGAAAGAAAAAAATTCTTAATTAATAAATCAATGAAGCAATTAAATAATTAATTATTCATATAGTTCTTAACTTAATTATAATTTATTTATTTATTTTTTATTTTATCATAGAAACAAATTGAAATTTGTTTTTCCTCACTTGTATGCTTTTTAATAAGCCGCTTGAATTTCAAAATTTTTTTCAATATATTTTGCTAAATAAACGCTGATTATATATTTTTATAAATATTGATTATTATTATTATTATTTTTTTAAATAAATTTTCAGCATTAATTCATATATTTTTTAGAATATTTGTAACGCTTTCTGTCTTATTATACTTTGTTACAATTATTCCTCTTTAAACGTTATGTACATTAAATTTGCTTATCAAAGTAGGAAAAATAATAATTTTTTATACCAATCACCAGGTGTGCGTTATGATTATTTCACAAACCTCACAATAAACTATATGTTGTCCTATTTGCCGCGGTTTCCTTCAAATTACGATCAAAGCTTTGCTTCATTTCCTCGTTATGCTCGATATGTTGTTTTAAGGTTTTTGTTTGCTGATTTCAAAATACTTTTTATGTAATGGTATATTAAGTTAAGTATATAACGTGAAGAAGGGCTTGAGATAGACCCAAATTTTATTATATTCATCGGTTCAGGATCGCTTTATGAATTGACCTGTCTGTCCCTCGATCCGCTTTGCTTTCTTCTATGGAACCTAGAGGTCGCAATATTTCACATATTTTGATGAACTTTGGTACTCAGATGTATTTTGGCCAAAGGACGACTTGTATTGAGAATGGTTCGGATCGGACGACTTTTTTGAGCACTTCCCATGTAATGTCGTATTTTAAAAAGTCTTCATATGTGTAGCGTTTACTGATGGGCTGTGGACAACTGTACTCTTTTTACTTGTTATTAAATATTTTTCAATTGCAATCGGATCAATCTATTCTCTAGCTCGTTAGCAAATACCAAATAGATTTATACATAAATAAATACAAAAATCTGATTTGATCAATGTATGTAAAATTTTCAAATTCCTTCATTTTGCCTTATGTGCCGGTCTCACTCTTCTCATAAGTACTTCTAGCATAACGTAATGTTCGTAGTTTGCATATGGCGACAGAATGAGGACAATACAAACTTCAGGTGATTTTTCCAGACTTTGTAGAAAGTATGTAATAGACACGAAATAAAGCACAGCGGACTTAGAAAAGTTCTTGAGCGCTAATACTGGGTTAGAACCGCGAATTAGAGCAAAGCTTTTAAGGAGTGTTCCCTGGGTTCTCTGACTGTCACGCGAAAATGAAAAGTAAAATAGACTTCATCTTATAATATGAATTATCATCAAACGGATCGTTGAGACCATGAAAATTCCTAATCAGCTATGCAAAGCGATTTCTTGTAATGCTTTGAACTTAACACAGAAATGGACCTAAAGTCACGTTCAAGTTAGTGTTAAATACAAATGACTACGAAACCATTCATATTTTTGACTTATTCCTCAATAAAATAAATCGAAATCGTCTACTGAACAAAACATGCCATCACCATTTTCAAAGAAGAAACTACACTGATGTAAAGACCATTTTAAAAAGAATAAATAACACACGTTTTTGAAGAAATCAATCTAAAACATTATTATTTTAACAAATCGAACACGCACAAGGTAATAGTGAGTATAAAAAAATTCGATATTTATTTCTTATTTTTTTTATGGAGTTTTTCATGACCAATAAGCAAGCATCACTTAGAAAAGTCTCTTGAAATTTTCTGTTTTCATTTTCTTTGCTTAGAACTTCGATAGAACAAAGAAATTTGTATAAAACGCTTACACATCATAGAACTATATTATCTTAATAGGAACGTGGATAGATTTTCAAAAAAAGCTCTTATGCTTCTTGGCCTTTGGATCATACATTTACAATTTCCAAGTATTAATTTGTACATTAGAAAAATACTTTATAAAAATATATACAGGATGTTTGGTTTTTCACAATCAGTAGTTCATTTAATAAGCATTTGAAAGATAGAGTTTATGTTAGGTAATATGTTACATATCATAATTTATGTGTTTATTTCCCCTTTTAAAACTACTTTGTACCTTAGAAAACACAGTTAGAGGATTCGAGTAGGTACTGAAGTTCACTTTTAAGCATTTTAATTGAAACTCTGTAGTAGTTGTCTTAAATTCTGTTTCTTTTCTTAAATTAAAATTTTTTTTTTTTTCTTTGTTTTTATTTACTTATTTTTTATCTCATATTCTATCATAAAATCTACGTTTTTAAGGTACTTATGACATTGAATTCTTTTCATGATATTCGATCTTTTTAAAAGAATTCTTAATCTAGGAGAAAATAATAATAAATAAATTAGATAATATATTATTTAAAACTTTTATGTTTTCATATCGTTTGTAAAGTTTCAAAACTTTTATTTACAGCGTTGTGAATGCAGCAAGAGTAAAAATGAATAAGTAAATAAATAAATGAAATTTGTATTCGATTGTGACCGAATATTTTACACCCGTCGACGTTATTTTACAAATGATTGAAAAAAGCATATATGTAAACTTGCATATTCTACAATGTAACGTGGGCGTGGCTGATTGTTTCTATTTTTCTGGAATTTATTGCGGTGTATTGTAGATTGTGAGCAATGAGCCAAAGACGCGGAAAGCAAAGCAGTTTGCGCTCTTCAATCTGTTTGGGCCATTTTGAAACTCTTACGTAAATTTACCGCTGAACAGGAGGGTGGATACGTTAGACTAACAGGCAAGCAGATGGACTGATGAACAGACGGACATGTTTACGTGCAATCTGAATTTGAAACTGACCAAAAATTTATATCTAGTTCGTGGGGCTTTTGAAAATTTGCTTCTGTGCGCTACCTAGTATGGTAGGCGTGTTATTCGATAGATTTGGCCCATTTTCAGTACCAACTTGCCTGCAAGAATTTCCAAAGTTAATTTCTGCGGCCTGGAGAATATTTAGAGCACACATTACACAGACGAACAGGTGGACAGACGGACATGTTTATATCAATTTAGAATTGGCTTCCCTCTGGGCGTTGCAAAGGTTTTCACAAATTGTAAAGACCCTTCATTTTTCGGTATATGTAAGAAGGTATATCTTTTAAGTGTTGTATAACCTTTACTAATCATTAGAAAATTATAAAAACAGGAAAGTATAAAAACAGGCCACAAGAAAAATGCATTTACATTGAAATGCACCTTTATAACCTCACATCTTATGCATGCATTAAAAATCACAGGATTTTTTGTTATTGCTTGGACGGGTCATTACGGCGGGCAAAATAGTTCCAATGATGAAAGCTGCGAAAGGTGTCAATGTTTCTGGCCTAATGTTTATAGCATAACATATTAAGGATTCTTAAGATTAAAGTTATTGACAAAGTAATTTGTATAAGCAATAATAGTACCAGTAACATCTTGCGAAATATTCTCTCGAGCTTATGCAAGAGTACATATGATGAGAGAGTGTGAGAGTTATTGCGCCTATAGTTGGATGCTTATAAAAAATTGTTATATGTTTATTTTTTACATGACGTATAAAAAATTGTTTATATAATAGTTTATAATTTTTTCTGTGGTAAAGACTGGGGCAGCATTTCCCAAATTAGATTAAAGTTGCTCTAAGAGGAGTGCATTATGATATGCTCAATGCCATAGAAGTCTGTAACCTAGATCGATCTCGGCGATAATTATATAATTTTATACATAACGAATATGATCCGCAGTCCTCGTCCCGTACGCGGAAGACAGATGCTTGTAGACATAGTGTGTTCAATTGTTCAAAACTGTTTATTACTATAGGTTCAGTCTTGAAAATAATTTTGTAGTTAACAAAAAAAAAAAAAATTACATTTGTTCCGTGGCAAAGTTTTCATAACCATTACACTTTTGCTTACTGATGCGCACATTTTTGAACGCTTACCGTGAATTGGCCAAAATTGCATAGCAATCTGAAAATTTATTTCAACAATTTGTGTCCATATGTTCTATCGCAAAGCAATACTGAAATATTTTGATAAAATGAGCTATGTCTGAGAAATCTTAATTACCTATTTATGGAGATAAAAAAAAAAAAAAAACAAACCATTCAATCACTTCCAGGAAATTTTGATCGCAAATTATAGCGTAATGGGTTTTAGTTTTGGTAATGGGGCTAACACGTTTGTCAAACTTAGGCTTGGAAAATACACTAAGGTTATATCTACATTTATAGTCTCTGACATCTCTGGGAAGATAGATGGACAAAGAGACAGCTCTGCTGTCTCTCTTATGAATCTTATATTAACGCAAAATAAAATGTATAAGTAAAATAAAACAAATAAAAAAAAAAAACAAAATTTCTGTTTATAAAATTTTTTATCATATTTTGTTTTATTAAAAAAATTTTACAAAAAAAAAAAAAGAAAAATAAATTATAAAATATATTTAAAAAAGGTCTTTTTAAATATATTAAAAAATTTAAATAATTTTTTTGATACATTGAAGACGTTTACTTTTTTTTATCACAATTACGAATGAAAAATTTCTTTAATTGCTAGAAAGTTTTACGACCACTTACACTACCATTGCCTGTACCAGTCGTACCACTGCTGCCGTTATGCAAAGCTGCCTGGGGTACCAATACACGTGGTAATGTGAGTGATCGCTTTGGAGCTGCGTGCTTAGCTAGGGGCAAAATGGCAACGGCCAGTGAAACCTCAGAGGTGTGCTTGATGGGCATCTTTGACGTGTCAATTACTTTTACTGGAGTTGAATTCAAGCTCTGAGCTGAGTCCTGTACTTGCGTTTCTTTCGGCAATTGTCACGCATACGATTGGGCTGTTTGTGGTATTATATTGGCCGCATACATTGGGCTTGATAAATGCACCGCAGCTGATGTTTGGTGGTCAACTTTTTCCACCAAATTCTTGAGACGACCTCGCAGTTCTTCAAGACTTTTTGACTTAGCTTTGTTGATGCGTTTATATTTGACATCTTTAGGTTTTGTAACTGAACGATGATTGGACATGACACGATTATAATTGGTTACCTGGTTAGATTTAGGCAAGTTATTTCCATTCATATCATCGTCATCTATACTAGAAGCTCTTGCTGAGTCCTCCATTGAACGGGCTTTCACATTATGCAACTGCGGTAACTTCATATGACCATTTTTTATAGCGCATACTGTAGGTTTATCTTCTCTTTTATCTCCCTCTTTGGTAGTAATTTGAGCACCGCTGCCTACTGTTGCTGCAGAATTAACTGTTGTGGATGTTGGTGTATTAACTTCGGCATTATCTATTTGTCCTTCCGTTGAACTAGAACTCAAAGCTTTCTCAGAACGTTGTTTGAATTTATCACGTTTCTCGGCTACATCAGATGTGGGCTCAGGATCCTCTTCTACGGAATAAACAGTCTCTAAAATTTCCGGTCTACGCAGGAAACAATTATTACGTCTAGTTACACCATACTTTGTTAAATTGGTTTCAATGGCATCCGATATAGAACGTACAATGGTGATACCGTCACTTGTCATATTATTACCAATATTACCGCTACTTCTTCGCCGGTTGCCGGTTAAAGTCACATTTGAGTCTGAGTCTATGTCCTCTAAAACCACAGCGGAATCGGAATCATTAAGCGAATCCAATTCGGTGGCGTAACTGGCTTCAATTGTCTCGAGACCATGATCGACTAAACGAGTCGATAGAGTATCAATAATTTTTTGTTGTCTCTGTATAGTCATCTCGCGATGATTTAAGAGACTGGCTATCTGTTTTTGTTTGCGTTTCAAACGTGACTCTAAAAGTAATAATTGACAAGTTAAAGCATTCAATTGATCGTTTTTTTCCTTCTGATAGCGATAGTGCTGTTGGACCTGTACGCGCAACAAGCAAAAAAAAAAAAAAAAAATTTTTTTTTATTTGTTAGTTTGCATTATTTAAAAGAAATTTACCTGTAGAGCATAAGTTTTGCGCCATTTCATAATATGCTCCGCTTGGCAACGCACTTTCGATCTTAATTCTTCAATCATGGCACGGGCGGTATGTAAATCCTTTGGATCCTGATTCATCATGTGCAAACGTACGTTATTCGTATGCGTTGATGCGGGAGTAGGTGGCGGCCATTGAAATTCCAAAGGCGGCTGTGCCATATCCGTAGGCAAGGATCCCCGCGGAATTCCAAAGGCCTTGGATTTCGGTGTAGCTGGACCGGCCGATGATGAAGTTTGTTTTTGCACACTACATGCCATAGTTATTGATTTGGCAAACTGTGAAGCTCGAGCAGTATACATTTATAAAACGTGCATATCATACATACGATATTGAAAAGCAATTGTAAAGTAGGCTGCTATGTTACGTTTTAACTGAAAATTATGGGGGGGGGAAAAAAAAATAGAAGACAAATGATACAATTATCTAAAATATATGATATATATATCTTTTCTGTTCTTATTCATTAATTGGAAGCACCAAATCTGTCCTATCCATATATTCATATATTAATCCTCCTATCACAGCGCTTAATAGCTTGGAATTCCAACTAATTTGCACTTTTACTGAATTTATTTCGAAATTTACGAAATATATTAAATTTGAATATAACCTCATCAGTATTAAAATTAAAATACAATTCTCTGGTTGTAAACGCTATATATTATTATTTTTTATTTCATTTTTATTATACATTTGGCTATGCATTCGCAATAACGGGCATGTGCCGGGAGATTTCAATTTCATATTACTATAACGATGTACGTAAATACCATTTGTAATGTGTGCAAATATTATTTGTTGTAATTTAAATTTAATAGTTATAGCGCTGCCTTTACATCTACTAAAGAGTACGTGGAAAAAGGAAGTTCTACGTTGCGTTTGTAGCATTTGCGGTGAAGGTATACGTTGTAATACCTGTATATTAGCTCTTTAGACACGTAAAGTGAAAACGTATCATATGAAAAAATCGTGTTGTAATAATCGCATATTTTGTATCGTGTTTTACAAGTATTGTGGATAAGTTTACAGATCTCGTTATCGAATAATCGTGGGATCGCATTTGGGGTAGATGGTATTCAATCGAGTTGGGCTTGGGCGGCGTGCGTATAACATAATAAGGCTATCGAGTAACATGAGCCCAATTTTCGTTAACGAAGGCTAATTAACGCGAACCATCAACCGAAAATGCAAATTTGACAACAAGTTTGTTTGATAATGAGAACCGTAGACCGACCCTGTGTTATGCGTACGATATGTAGTCAACAACGGCAGCTTCAATATACTAGTCGACTCTGAATCAATATCTGAATCGACGTAAGCAAGTCTGTCATGCTATTTTTATGTTTAAAACAATTTCTATGTTTTAACGACTTTATCTGCTTTGATTGAGACGAGGCGGAAAAACGGATAACAAATCGTTTGTATAGAGCGAACATAGTGAAAAATCGGCGTGGAATAGAGTCATGAACTCGCTAACATTCTTCCAAAAAGGGTCGGAGTTCGCTTACTGGCTATAAAATTTGAACTGGCTTTTATATTAGTGAATCCGTGTGTGAACTGTAAATATCAAGAGAGATATAGCGAAATTATTTCAAATCAATAATAGCATTAAAAATATACAATCAGGGTTTTTCACATTTCATTATCAAGTAGTTCCGTCGATTCATTGTTTACGTGGGTGTAAACGTAAATCTACACTTTAGAAACCAATATCTTAATTAATTGCTCCGGTTTCATGTTAAATGTTCTTTAGATTTTATCTTATATCGAGACAATTACATATCAATTTCAAGTAAGTTGAGCCCAGTTTGCTGTCCTCCAGAAGTGGTCTTCGATTATCGTGAGGCGATGCATTGCGAAATCTTTTCACATGTTGTTGTTCTCCATAACATGAGCAGACAACTTCTGAATTTTACATCATCATACTTTCTGCCTTGTGACAAATTTTTGACATCTCGAAAGTTGGTCGTCAGATAGGATTTAACTTTGTTTGACCTGGATATGTCTATTCGCGAAACCCAAAAAGGACATTATGACTTTCTGTTGACACGATTGAAGAGATAAAGGAAGTATCGTTTTGATGTCTCTAACTACATATCAAGCGCTCAGTGAAGATGTCCTCTATGCGTGTAACATGGCGATAGTCAGGAGACAGTACGAAAAGACACAGATAACCAATGGTCATAGCTTAGAAGGAGTACACTTTACCTTTACAGGCTAAACAGTCACTATAGGGATGGGATGATTAGTGTTCTTACACTATTTGGCCACAATATTTTCATTACATTATGCTTTACTCGAACAATTCATTGTTTATGTTGCGTTCTAATAAATGTATTGCGGGGCATACTTGTGAACAATAAAAGTACGGCGACGGGAGGGAAGGCTAGTTGTTATATAGTGACGGAAAAAAATTAAAGCAAATGCTTGCTCAGTGCTGGAAGATTCGTTTTAAGCTCTGCGTAATTTCCATCTTTCGCTTTCATTCGTTCTTTCTCACCATACCACCGCAGTATGGCGGTATATTCATTTTGTTGATTCGGTTTCTTCATCCAGAACGGAGCTGCAGAGATATTTCAAAGTATACATGGTCTATACATTATTAAAGTGCGCATAGAATCTACGTTTGTTCGTCGTTGTAAACGTACGAAATAAGCGTTCTTCCGACCGAGAATATTAAAATATCGATTTCGAATTTCTCAAAACTTTGGAAATTCATGCACCCCAAAAGGCAACCCCACAGTACAATAACTCTGCGTTCAAAGCATAATAATGCGAGCTTTTGATCATTAAATAAAAAATTCCGTTTCCCGTCATTCCATTTTTGCCTTAATGATAATGGGTGCAAGAGGGTTCGAGCAGAAACGAATAAAATTTTTTTATTTGTTTCTTTTATTTTCAAAAGGGAGAATTTGTCCGTATTTTTCGCCAACAACAAAAACAATTAAATTATTCAGTATCACCACCAGCCCTTCGAGCTTACACTAAGTGAAAAAGTACGGTTTCCAGCGAATTTTGGATAGTCCTCATGTCTAACACATGTACATCAACCCAAAATATCTGAGCACATGATGATTTTCATCAATTCTTTTAACGTTAACTTGAGAAAATAATTGCCTTTTGAATGTTTTTTTTTCAAGCTTGCAAATCTTTATGAAATCCTGTTGTTTGCAACAAAATTTTAAATTGTTGATATTATTCGTTATTATTATTATGAGCGCGTTTGTAGTTTCCTCCCACCTTTTTTCAAATCTTATTTGCAGGGATGTATACTACAAGCTGAATGTGAATAAACAAAAGCACATAGTGTGCTAAGGGCTTTAAATGTCGAGAACATTTCAATGAAAATTCGAACAAAAAAGAATTGTCAGACAGACTGTCAAATAGAGTAGCGGATGAGATAGTAGACTTTCATTTATTTCAAATCAATAGGCGCTTAGTAGACAGATAAGTAGACATATAATTAAGCAGATAAGATTAAATATATGGGTAGACAGATGAATGGATCGATGGATAGATACGCAGATCAATAACCAGGCAGAAAAGTAGACAGATAGATAGGTGGACAAGTAGATAGATCAGTAGGTAAGTAAATAATTAAGGAGATGAGTAAACAGGTACATATGAAGAGACATAAGTAAATAGATAAAGCAAAAATACCGAAACAAACGGATAATCAGATACCAGATAAACAAGCAGAGATCAGAGATAAGCAATAATAAAAATATCAGGTAGACATAGAAAGAGACAAGCCGACGCATACGTGAGCGGATAAATACTCGGATAAGCAGACCTATGAGATGGTCGAACAGGGAAAAAGCAAATAGATAACACGCAAAACCCGAACAAATTAGCAGAACAAGGAGTTGATAGCAAAGCTTTTGGCAAACCGATAAACACACAGCAGAACAGATTGATTGACAAAGAACATGCAATTTATACTGAGAGCAGAGAAACACATAAACGGGCAGTTGCACCTGTGGTGAAACTATGAAATGTGCATGAAACTGAACGAGAGTCATGCATGAGCGAATAAGCATAACCGACGAATAAAAGGGTAGGTAAAGGACCGTCTAGGCAAGTAAGGCTATAGTTTAAGCGCTTTGCGGAAATAAGTATGCCATCGTCCTATAGTGCGGCTATAGAAAACATATAAAAACTTTTTTTATGTTATTATTGCAAAGTATTGTTGTTTTTGTTTTTTGTTAAATACCCGCAAGGCTTATAGCGAGTGTTGATGAAAACAAGTAATTATAAAAAAAAAATTTTTTCATTCTCTTGTTAAATATTAAAATCCTTTAAAAAACATGTACTTGTGAAATAAGAACATATCTAAACACACAGGAAAAATCACATTCAGCTGTGTCGGAATTTTTTACACCCATCAACTTCATTTACATTTGCAACGAATGTAAATAAACAAGATGGCTGTGCTATAACGTGTATAATGCAAATAGGAAGCGAATTTTTTACTTGTACAAATAGTTTTAATTACTGTGTTCTTCCTGAAATCTATTAAATTTTATTTTAATTACGTCCCCATGATTCACATAAAGTGTATAATTTTATCATCCTAATAGTATTGCAATTTTTATTCACAGGTCACTGAACGATGAACCGTTTACTCACTTTGTAAAAACGTTTCCTGCGCCCAGAAGAAAGCTTCGGAGACCTCACAAAGTATATAAATTCTTGACTAGCATTATATTCTAAATCGATGTAAGCATCTGCGCCTGTCCGTTTGTGAGTGTTTATTCAAAACATTCTCTGGACTGTCAAAAAGAAACTACCTGTTTCATATATTTCGGGGCAGTGTAAATTGGTCCAAATCGATAGAAGGACCCGCCTACAGTACCACGTAACTCCTGAGAACACCTTTTGCTTGCTTTTTAGATGGAATAAAAAATTGGTTTTTCGCAGATAAAAACAAAAACTGGAATATATATTTTATGAGCGATGGTATAGTGCCTGTGCAAAAATAGAAAAAATCGACCATGCCTACCCAATGTTATATTGTATTAAAATTTGATTTTTTTTTTTTCAAAATCCTTTAAAGTATATAAATTCCCAACCAGTTTCAAGTTCGGGAAGCACCCAAGCATGTCTGTCTGTTCGCCAGACCGTCACATTTTCATTTTTACTCTGAGAATTGAAAAAATCAACGGTCTCCCCATAATATCACAGAGTATTCAAATTTAGCTTTTCCGTTTTTTAGAATAGCGGTGGTGGATAGGTAAGGTGGATAAAAGGTTCGATGATCGATACAATTTTCCTACTTGTTTGGTTACCTTATTGTACATCAACAACTTTATGAATTGAACTTTTTCGGAAAGAACAAACATTCTTTCCTGCCGTAAAAGTTAAGAGATAAGTCTTTAAAATCCCGAAACGGTAATAATCCTGTTGAGAGCATAGCAAAGGTATAAATTAAAAGTACGTACAGTCAGGAAATTTCCCCGAAATATTTGTTACATCTTGATTCAGAAGCGTCACTCACACGCCTACTGAAGCTATGAGCCGATCACGTCTTATTCCTTATAGCTCACGCATTATTAATGAATAAGTTTGTGAATTTTTTGCTTTGTGAGAAGTTTTATAGACTTTAACAAAGAAATACTGAAGGACAGATGAATTGGAAATTTTTTCAAAAGTTTTTTCATTTATTTTAAAAAAATTGATTTTTAAAAAATACAAAAACAGGAACAGTTTACATTTCAGAAATTTTTTTCAAACCTTTGTGAACCTTTGAGGTTCGCATGAATGTTGCACAGAAATATTTCGATTATTTTATGTGGCTTTTCAGAAATGTTTGTTTTACTTTACTTTGACAATTACCATCAAAGAAAAAATTTTTTTAAATTTACAATTAGATATGATGACGAAATTAATCCTTTTCATTTTTGTAACAGACTTATGCAGTTCGAAAGAAATTACTTGTATTTGACAGAAAAAACAAATCGTTACTCGAAAATTTGTCCGAAAACGCCGGAACACGTTTAATAATTTTTTTCTGAGCCATGAACTGTAAACAGAAGAGTGAAGTCTACGCAATGTGTGTTGTAAAGACAAAGCTGCCGCCCTCAAATTTGGCAGAAACCATGCTGATATCAGACTTGCACTGAGAACACAACTCCTATATGGGTTTGTGGTCATCGTTTATATACTACAACAGATGATATGCGGTAAAAATCTCTACAGTTTTCACAAAAATGTAAACAATCAGTCGCGCTCGTTCAATGTTATAGAGTATGGAAATTTAGTGTTTTCGTTGTCTGCCCAGTCTTTATTAGGATAAAGGTGATGGATATAAAAGATTAGGATAACGGTGATGGATATAAAAGATTTGGATACAGCCGATTATAATTTTATGACTTGTTAAGTTTTTGGAACTTTTTTTTGTTTTACGGCTGTCTGCGAGTCTGTCATGTGATTCGATTAAGGTTAAAAGAAGCAAATGTTTTTTGAAGCTGAAGCATTTTAGTGGCACGACCCATTGATGGCCATCTGAGTTGGACAAGTCCATTCTTCATTAAGTCCATCCTTCCTACAAGAAAGTACACTTGCTGCACAACGGACTGTTTGTTGCGTCGATGTGAAAGCGCATTCAAACGCAATACAGAATTTTTGAATTATGTTATACTTTTGCCGAAAACTTTCAATTGATTATTAGTTGGTGATGTTACTAGACAGTGTTGCTTTGGAAAGTTTAAGTACTAGACGAAAAATATTAATTTAAAACTTCAAATAACTATTTCGTAGCCACACATAAAAGGGCGATGCAAAAATGTCGAACAATCCTCATACACACACCATGTAAAACAATCGTTTACATATTTTGAATACCACGGATTTGATTTAAGTTATGGACACGAATATCATTTTCTTACTTGCTTCTTAAGTCGGTTTATTGCTTTTTAAGATACTTCTAAGCATATAACATAAATTCTTTTGGGTTCCTATGGCTTAGAGCCATTAAAGGTTTCAAGTTTCTGTAACATACCAATGAACTTATGAATTCTCACAAGTTTCTCATAAGTTGTATTTATGTTACGTTTATATAAAGAACTCTTCATCAAAACTTTTTACAAGACTTCAAATTCACATACAATGTTCACAATAGTTTGTCTTTTTGTTTTTCTATTTTCATGTTAGATTTACTCGGTTCCACCTCATGTTTGTAATTTTACTCTTTTGCATAAAATATTTATGCGCGTATTTGCGCTTGTTTGCACGAAAGTATGTGCACATGTTATTAAAATTTAATACTGTATTTATGTAGGCGTTTCAATGCCTATATATATATTATATATGCTCGCCTTTGTAGAAGGTGTCACATGGAGACAACAATAAAATGTATTTGAAATAGAAGATGAACGAAAGACAAAAAGAAAAAAACGGACAATACCTAAATACAAAGCAATACGTTCTTGCTCACAAATATATGTACGAATAACGGAAGCTACAGAGGATGTCAGAATCACACAGTACGTGGTGTTGTTAAAAAAAAGCGCATTAAATTTAAAAAAGTACTCAAGAAGAAACCTATTATCGCAGTACTACCTATTCCTAGTTTTCCCTTTAAAAATGAAACAAATAAGAAAATAATATTCGGTCATAACCGAATCTTTTATACCCATTAGCGTTATTCTAAAAAAGACACATAATGTAAACAAAATGTTTTCATGCTCTATAATGCGAAGCGAGCGCGATTGATTCTTTCTATTTTTAGAGTCAAAATTGTTGTCGCCTATGCCTGAGGGGTTGTGGGCTTTAAATAGTCTTTAAAAGTCTCTTCCAAATTCTTTTGCAAATTCGTAGACGATATCTTCATTTTCGCTAACGGGCATATGTTTACCACAGATGCTACACACTTGGGCCGACGGACAAATGGATAGACGAAGGGACTTCCAAATTTCAAACTGGCCAAAAATTTGCATACTTTATGGCATTTTTGAAGCGTGTTGTGCGCATTCAAGGCATTGAAAAAAAAATGAAGTTCTTTTGCTCTATAATATTGGGCAGGTGTTGTCATATTTTTCTACTTTTGTGCAGGCACTATAGCATCGCCCACAGAATATACGCCCCAGTTTTTTCTATATTTATTGATATATACCTTATGAGTAATGAACAAAAAACCAATTTTTTATTTGTTTGCGTGGTGCTGTGCGCATGTCTTTCGCCCCATTTGGCCCATTTTCAATGCAAGAACTACCAATTTGAAGTCGAAGGGTTTATTTCTGCGACCTGGAGGAGAATGTTTACATCAGACGTTACATAGGTGTGCAGACGGCCGGATGGACAGGCGGACATGCTTAAATCGATTTAAAATTTGATGCTGATCAAAATATATATACCTTATGGGATCTCTGAGGTTTCTCTTTGAGCGTCGCAAACGTTTTGATAAAGTGAATATATCGCCCATCCTTCGGTTATGTGTTTGGTATAAAAGGAAACATTCCTTTTTTCAGTTATTTAATACTTGAAGAGTTTCCTACATTTATCGCTGCTCAGTTGCTGTTGCAATCTCATGTTAATCAATGAATAATCGTTTCGATAGGTATTGTCTAGGTTAACCTTCGATGAGATATCTCTGAATATTTTCGCTTGAATTTTTCCATTGCTTTTTTGATGAAAACAAAAATTTCATATCAAAAAGACTTTGCTTTTTGACGAAAGTTTCATTTTAAAATTATTTATTTGTACATATGTGACTATAAAGGCTATGTATATTAAATATTTTACTATGGCTTATAGTGCCGATACATTTGCCATTGTAAAATGAAATTCTCATACGGACAAGTTTTTTATATGAAAGGGAAATGACGCAATGAAAAATTTCAAGTTAATCTTAACAATTGCATGAAATTTATTCTTCGAAAATTATAGTAACATCGTATCGAGCTCTTCTGCATAGGTGATCCATTTTATTATACATATCACAATGAGAGGTATATTCATTTTGGCAAAAGGTTTGCAATGCCGAGAAGGAGGCGCCACAAAATGTATATATTCTTGATCGGCATCAAATCCTAAATCGATTTAAGCATGTTTGTCTGTCCATCTCTGCAATGTCTCATGTATACATTTCCCAGGCCGCGAAAATGAAGCTATCGGCTTCCAAATTGGCAAAAACAATGGAAGTTCTTTCACGCAGATTTGTATTGAAAAAGGGCTAAATCGGACTCGCTCGCCGTACCAAGTAAACTGAGAATACCTCTATTTTTCAAAGGGAATGAAAAATTGGTGTTTTGCTCATTACTCATAATTGCAAATAATAAATGTGCAAAATGTATAAAAATTTGAACGCATGAAAAAACGATGATTAAATAGAAAATATTAGAGAATGTTGCTGTTTTTTTCCGAGTCTGTTCTGGAATACTTTCACCTTCATAATGTGTTATACAGTCGAAAGTTGAACAACAATGTTTACTCATTATCGAACCCAATCGAACGGGCTTTAATAATCTTCTGATCCTTCTCTAATCTGTAGAAAGCAAAACAAAAATAACAATTCGCGACATATTTTTTTTACAAAAGAAATGATGTGAACTTGATGGTACTTTAAGCTGTTTCCCACAAAAAGGATTTAGTTTATTAAAAAAAACTCTAAAGTGGTTTACTTTTTAAATATGCAATGATGTGCAAAATCTTTAACAAAAATCTTAATAACGTTTACTAAGCATTATGTGCACGAATGAAAAACTAATCTAAATTTAAACAATAATCTTAAAAAGTAATAGTCCACTAATTTTTAATCTGTGATAGTAAAATTTGACAATTAAACTTTCTATTAAGCAAATTTACTATAGAGTTGTTTGTATACGCTTCACAGTAACTTGGAACTTTTCTAAATACATATTATAAACGTTAACATTTGTTTTTAAATTTTGCACAAACTTTAACTTTTATATTATATTTATTAAAAAAAAAATTTTTAAACAAAAGGATGAAACAAACTAAATGAATAACTAGTTCATACGCATAGTTGAGTGTTAAGTTAATATTTGTTTTATACTTCATGAGGTTCGCTCCTCCAGAATGAAATACGGAAAGAGACTTATAAAACAAATAAGAGCAGAACAGTTTCATTTCAACATGCAGCAATAAATTATTCTTAAAAAAAATATATATATGTACTTACATTTTTACTCCTATAGCAATCATTCATAATCTGGAAATAAGAAGAAAAAAACAAATCATTAATGAACTTTCTATACAAGCGCAAAGCGCAGTCAATTAACGCAAAATTAAGAATTAAGAACATATTAGTCGGGCAAGGCCGACTGTTAGGTATCCCACACCACTTCGCGTAATATAGTTATTCACTCGTTTTGGTGCTAACACAACAAAGGTAACATTATTGTCATGTAAAGGCATACTTTTAATGAAAGCCTACATATTGGAGGAATCCTTATAAGCGGCCTACGTAGGCCCACGTGGTCCAAATTCCTTAAGATTCCTTAAGACTTCGAAATTAATTTACTATTATGAGCTAACTTTCGCCATAAAGTACTAAAATTATACTTTTTTACTATATAAAGTTTAAGTTTGTGTACGATCGGCTTTAAGAGAGGAGATTCAGAAAATTGACTTAGCCGAACCAATGCTCGGGGGGGGAGAGGCATAGGTGGGTCTTAGTATGCCTGGTACCGTAAATGATGATCTGATCGATTGTGAAAATCTGATCGGAGTGGAGATCTGATCGAACCAAAAAGTATTCTGAATCGTTCTAAGCCTGTTTGTCAGTCAATGTTCACGCTAAAGATCGCATATTTTTGACATATTTTTGTGAAATTTAGCACATTCAAATGTTTTGACTAAAAGACGAAAGCTATTGAAAATGATTTGGTTCGGCCCATTTTTTTGGGCACTCTCCATACAAAACCTGATTTTGAAAAGTTGTTGTATAGAACAAAATTGAAATTTTCAAAGCGCCTAAGTAATAGCAATAGTAATAGTATCTTATAAGCCCCCTCTCATAAAACGAAAACTAAAGTTCATATGACAACCAGGTCTTATTTTCATCACAGAATGCTAGCCTATATAAAAATTTCCAACAAAATTTTCTTTCTTCGGGCGAGTTTTTTAAATATTATTTCTTGAACTTGTTTATTATACTTTTGGAAGATATTTAAGTTCAAACACGTTTTAAGCGAAATGAAACCAGTCTTCAAACATTTGATCCAAAGTATATAAAACATAATATGAAACTACTCTCTTGCTATACGATCATAATTATCATATTTAGTTAGCGGAAATAAGGTTGAAAACAAATAAACTTCAAGGCTTCAAATTTACTCAAATATCTGCATTTAGTTAACTTCTTTTATACGATTTTATTGCCATTTTTTATTTTAAGTGAACATAGAAATCAATATAGCATGTTTCTGATGAATCAGTATAGAGTTAGACTTACGATGATTTCCTAAACACTTTTCTAAGGTTACTAATTGAACAGGCAATACCCAGGCAAAATGGATTTACATATGAAAGAAACTTCGTGGATCTGAATGAAGATAATAAATTTGAAAAAATGGACACTTGTCAATTATTTGAAGGCGAATGCACTACACCCAACTACATAGTTTCTGCAAATAAATGTTCGCATGTGTTCGATAAGCCATGTTTGTAAAAAAATTAATTATAATGTTGACGTTAGCACTCGCATGTCATAGTGCATAATTATGGCCTACACAGCACATGATTGTTTTCAATAACAACAAGGACAACATTTTATTCAGATAAGTTTAGTGGGTTGCCGGGTGATTATACCAACATAAACATACGTTACGCTGACCACGAAATAATAAATGGTTCTATGCTGTTGGCGTGACGATTGCAAACATCATTTCCATTGGATTGACAAAGAACAAGCGGATAACAAAGACACACAAATCGGATAACACAACAAAGCTGTCGATACGAAAACCTTTTTTAAATTAGGCCAGGCTTCTTCGACAAGCTTGTCTTTAGTTGTTCTAATTAAATCTAATGAAAAGTAATAATGATGAAAGAGAAAAGACTTATACTTCCCAAAGTACACTTCTTGATGTTCAGTATCAAATTCTGAATAAATAGCAGACTGTCTTGTTTGCCATTCTGCGTGACGTCTGTGCTAAATATTCCCCTGCCCGCGATAGTGAAGGATCGCCTTGAAATTTGTCATTGAAACAATAAAAATTCTTGCACGAAAACTGGTATTGAAAATAGTCGAAATAAGTCCAATGACGTGCCCACAGGGCTACATAAACTGAGAACACCTCCGTTTTTCAAATGGAATAATGGCTTTCTCTCCCACTACTCATAAACAGCAGCTAAACGTACTAGAATTTGTACGTATATTCTCAGGGTAATGCTGTAGTACCTGTACAAAAATTTTAACTTTATAACTCATATAAACTAGAACTACGTGGACCAGATCGGACGAAGGACACACTGACAAAAACCGAAAATACCTTCCTGTACAAAATAAAAAAAGTCGGCCACGCCCATCCAATATGTATAGTGTACAAAAACTCCATTCATTTTTTAAACCTCTATAACGCTCAGAAAAGCAAGCTTAGAAAACTCCATAAAATATAAATATCCTTCCCTTTGGCAACAATGAAGATATCGAATGAAGATGCAAAAAAATCTTAAAATAGGCCAAACGATGAAGAGAGAAGCCTACAGTGCATCGAAAACTCAGAATAACTTTGCTTTGTGGGTTTTTTGATGGTTACTTCTAAAGTACGATAGACCCATCATAAAAATTTTCATGTGTAGCCAAAAAAAAAAAAAAAAAAAAATGGGGAAATTCGCCCACGCCCATCCAATACTAAGGAATATGAAAATTTAGTATTCTTCAGTTTTTGTTAGAGTAATGGTAATTTTCCGTCTTCTTCTATTATGTCGCACATTTCCAAATTGGTTAATGGCTTGTGTTAATTGAGAAGCATTCATCAGCCTATGCTAGAGACCCAATTAGAAATTCATTATCTTAAGCATCGCTAAAACTAATAAGATCGAACCGAGTCGATGAGCAAATTGTACATCTCTACCTTGTTTACGTAAATTGCTATTTATTCGCAATAAGTTTTTAGGAGAAAGACATATGGAGCTAATAGCTATAGTTATTAGACAAACTCTCTAAGGAACCTCTTTTAACATTGCTGTAAAAGTATATACTTTTGTGCTTTTTACTCCAAAAATACCGACAAAAGATGTTTTTATTTGAAAACTTTCTCATACTCTAAGTATTTATCTTAACACTTCTTTGGAATAATTTTACCCATTGAGTTCATTTTTCCGTTATTGTTTTTAAATACGATGCCCCGTCAACTGTTGCTGGCTGTAGTTAATTTAATAGTGTTTATTTGACCCTGTAAGATCTTTAAACCTTAAAAAAAAGTTCAGCAACAATTGGTAAAGAACAACAACAACCAGTTTTATAAATGCTGTTCTACTTTTTTATCATATAAGTATCATCATTATTTGTGTATATGTGCTTGGTTCGTTCATAGTGCAAGCCATTGTCCCCCACTTTCCATATACTCAAGAATCGACCAGCTTTTTCTTCTTCTTCTTCTACCATGCCATTTTTCATTATTTCTTTCTTGCCATTTTCTATTTATTTGATTTATGTTTTTTTTCTTTTTCTTTTTTTTTTTTTGTCGATATTACTTTGCTACTGCCGGTTATGGGTTAAAAAGTTTTATTAATTGTGTCTAACTAAAAACCGCTACTGCACGGTATATCTACCTGGGTTTGCAATTTTTTGTGTTTCTTAGATTTTATTTTAAACAAACCGGTGTTGGCGTCTTCACACATTCAACACCATAACTTTATGTAAACTTGGCCTAAAAGTCTACAAAAAAAAAAAAAATAATAAAAATAAAGAAAAAAAGACAACAACAACTAAAGCTAAATATACTAAACATACAAAACTAGTTACGTTTCTTGAATCGTAACAGCACTGCTTATAGTGTTGTGTTGTTTCAGTTGTTGTAATCGTTATTTGTTTTTGTCTGTGTTGTTGCGCAATCATTGTTGAGATTGTTTCTAGTGTTATCGTATATAGACCTACTTTTGTATACGTAATACATACATACGTGTTTTGTTGTCCAAAGACTATTTGCAACAATCATCATCGGACATGTAAATATGTTAGTCTATATCATATAGTTTTTATATTAGCATAAGTGAACAAGCAGCCGTGTTGCGTTTTTCTTGCTTGAATTGCGCAAACAAATATTAAATAATTAGCACAGGAAACACAAATTATTAATTAGCACAGTTTTGTAAAGTATAAAATCTTGTGAAAATGCAAGTCGGATAGAGGATTACTTTACTGTTATAGGTTATAGATATGTCTATGTCGTTCTTGAACGTAATACTTTTTACCCATAGCTTGTTATTGATTGCGTGCTTCCTCGTCAGAGAATATTTTAATTAATCTTCATCACTTGTCACATTTCAAGTCACGTTAACTAACTACGCAAGCTCAGCTGTTCTTCCTCTTATTGAAGTATTATTTATTCCCTTGAGAAAAATTTAAATGTTCATCTTTTTTTTTTTTATACCATACAATCACAAATATTTATATTCTGCGTTTATGTGGGTCAGTGGCAATCTCTTAAGCACATATTTTACACATTATAAAATCCATCACTCATTTTTCTTTTTATTTTATATTTTATGTCCACCACCGAACGATGAGTGGCACGTTAGATACGTTCCGTCGTTTATCACAAGCACAAATATGCATCGAGAGTTGCATAATAAGATGCGTCTTAAACTAAACAGGATGTCTTTCAAAATGAGAAATCAAATTGACCTCTTCATATTCTATAGGTTAAAAAAGTATGTCGGCTGCTGTACGGCCATCGTCACTCACGTTTCAGATTTTGTTTAAATCGTGTTAATTATATAAAGCATCTTGTGCTTAATGTGTGTCTTTTGAATGATTTGTAGAATATTTTTAGCATTATGACGTCCTTTAGGGTACAACAGAACTTACACCAAGGAGGTGCAAGTAAAGTAATGTGTGAGTATGAAAAAATTTTAAATATTTTTGCGAAGTTTTGAATAGTTTGAACCGGGTGCAAAAAAAAACTATTTGTACGCGAAACGCTTCTTTTAGCCTTCGATCCGTCGGAAAATGCTGCAGAAAGCCAAGGATTACTTGAAAAA